CCTCAAAGATTACGAACACAAGATTTAGGAAATGAGGAAAGACAAGAAACTATATTTATTGCACGCTGACAGATAATATATACGCTGTGTCGGAAGCCTAGTGTCCTGTGCTGACTTTCTTTCGAATTCTACGGGCGCGGCGGTTTCTTTTCCAAGGTCAGGGAAGAGAGCTGTATTCGCCCGGTAGAGCCCGCGCGCGCGCCCGTGTGCCCCTGGCCTGAGGGCACCTGTTCATTGTCCCATGACCCATCAAGCCGTACCGGGCACGTCCTTGGTACTATTCTACATATGGTCCTTGGATGTGCCCTAGTTTTCAGGTATAGCACTCGGGGCGGTTAAAATCCTCGTCGCCTTATTCTCCTACTTTACAACTTTTTTTCCAAAAACTGGGGCCCAGGTGTTCGGGCTTCGTTTCCAGACAGAACCTAACGTTTGTTTATCGTCCAAGTTAACAACAGAAAGAATGCCGCAACTTCCTCCTCGACTGCTTGCAGATTAGGGCGTCTACCTGAAGCTTAGAGGACATACCAGGCCGTACCATGACGGCTTACTAGTCATTGCTATTCTTGTATCATCCAGGGGTTTGAGCACACGCCCAAGTTGCCATTGTTCATATATTTAGTGCTTTTCAAGTTTGAAGTGGAGTTTTAGCCGTGTCACTGAGTCATACGGGCGTGGGATCATCATCCTAGTAGGGTCACCGTATTCTGGACGAAAAGCAATCTTCAGCTATTTAGTAGTTGTATATATAGTAAAATAGCAATTGGATTGTTTTTATCACAACGACATTGTGAATTGAAACGGGAATTTATTTAAGACCTCAATGTTAAGTTCGAGAAACTACGGTGGCGCAACGTAATTTAAAGCTTCTTGGGCATTCGCTGCATTTTTTTAGCCTTGGGGTCTATAGTCTGATCCCCAAAATTCTACCACGCCGGATTTTAGGGAGCAGACTATTGCTAACAAGACTGGACTCCAGGTTATACATATTATGCAGAACCGATGTGTACCGGAGTCATGGAAACTTCTGATTCAATTGAATACAGAAGGGACCGTGAAAATTGGCCTCTGAGAACAGAAGGTCCTTTACGTGAACTAATCGTCCTGAAGGCAAGGGTCTCCCCAGCGGATGACATATCTCTCCTGACTTTCACAATGCCGCGTCTTTGTTTGCCCGGCGTTACAGGGTAAGTTTGCTTTGGTCCTGGAGTGTTTAACAATTGACATCAAAATTTCATACATCTATACAAACGTTCACACCAAGATGGTCTAAATTATTACGTGCAAACCGGTGCAAATACACGAAGATAACATATTCTTGGAGATTCATGGACCAAGGAGCCAGTTGTAGGTGTCTACCGTCTACCAGCCTTCAGGAGCCTGGAAAGACTAGAAATTGGACAGATAAAATTAAATAACATGCGAGGGGAGTTGGTCCGCTAAAGGAGTACAGTTTGCCGCTAAATTTCCACTCAGTCCAGTAGCTTCTGAAGCCTGTAGGAGGCTAGCAGGTTTCGACGAGAGGCCAAAGGGAGTTCTACGGTCAAGACTGGACCATTCATAAATCTCATGCCTATCTGACCGTGTGTTTTTAAACTGTGACAGCAAGGACATTGTGTAATAATGTCTTTGGGGACAACATGCCACTGTATTGTTATCAAACCTTCATAGCATTGTTTCCTCCCGTTTCTGACCCAACCATGCCTGTTTTGTTGACTACTACCATATCGTGACTGGCTAACACTAGGCAGCGTTAACGTTGACTCATATTTGAATATACGAATGTCTTTCTAGACGTCCTGGGAGGTTCTAGTTCTGGGAAGGTCAGAGTTATAGTACGCACAGTCGTTACGTTGGTAAAGAAGAACATTGAAACTACACGAGTGCAGTATGAGTATAATATAAGTTCATACTAACCGCAGCCGATCGGCACAAGACACTGAGCAGGACGCATGACCACAGACATCGCGCTGCCGACTGTACGGGCAGCATGTCGGAGACGTGGTTGAGAGATGTCACGACTCCCACGGCGTCCTGTTCCACCCAGGAGCTTTCCTTGGTCCCGCGGCGTGCTAGGTACGACACCCCTGTTCTAAACAGTCGTGTTTGCTACACACACACAAACGCACACAGAAGAAACAGAAGCAACAGCTATTATGAATCTGCCGTCTTCCCCTGGGAGACAAGGGAGTCGTCACCGCCACAATAGGCCGCTATTGTCCATAGGTTATGACTCAGTGACGTAGTGGAATATAAATGATGGGCCGTTCCAAGTCACTGGCCCGTTGCATGGACCACTTTCACTCTTACTTACCTGACTTTCACTTTCTTGAGCAACACGTCCACAGTTTGCGAATCAAAATCGCCGCGCACTATCCTTTTCTTACAAGTGGTGGCATTACAAAACGTGATTTTGAACGTGTTAATAACAAACACGAAATCGTTGTTCTCCCGATTGTAGGTGGATTGTTCGGGGATAAGGTGGTGGTCCGACCGGTCTGTGGGCCTGACTGGTGCGGTGCTCTAAACAAAGGGCCGAGGCGCCTATTAAACCATAGGCGGTGATAAATAATGTAGGACCGACCTTGTCATCCATGTCAATAACAAGGTTTCCAGTTGTATAGATTTTTTTTTCAAATTCAGCCCTGTATCTTCACATGTGTATGTGTCATGATATGTTAACCTGTGAAGTTAAAAGGTCAACCACACACAGATTGGGCGTGGCCTGCAGAGAAGTATGGGTGGTATGGCCGTTGAAAGACTTTAAAACTAGTATTTTGTCCTCCTTGTGTTGTGACAAAAAAAAAACAACCGACCAAGGACCAGCTAAGGTACTTGTACTTAATCGGAAAGGCATCCGTCTGTGATCTACTTGGTAGGTTATGTTGTTTTTGAATATGTAAACTTTATTCTAACACAAAGAATTACACTCACTGAATTTAAGGCTGGCATACTGCAGTTTTCTTCAGGATCGCTTGGGGCATGACTCAGCGACCACACACACCCTTTGTACACAAGTTGTAGACACGCTCTTGACTTCCATCCCAATATTGTGGACAGCCCCTCCCAATACATTCTAGTTGTGGACATTCATTCTATTCATTTACACATTGTTAAGTAATTAGAAAGGTAAAATTATCAGGCAGGTACAACCTCAGCGAAAATAAATCTACCAGTACTTATGTTAGTACAGAAGTTAAGGTACTATGAAGAAATGTATGCTTCGGTTGATCATTTCATCATAGCAAATTGATGTGCACAGTAATTGCTATTAACTATTAACTGGCGCTTCTAGGTGTAAATTTCATCACAATTTTCTGGATATCAAAAAGTGAAATTTTGTGTTATTTGTTTACAATATTATGTATGTTGTGAAGTGATAGTTGCTTTCTTTCCCATAAATTGACATGATATTGTATGCTATGTTATAGGGCCAAGTGTTACATGATGAACTATAGACAAAAGAGAAGGGTCAAGTCAGACAGACAGAAGTTGTGATACACATGTAGCCAAAGGTATTTGTGGACCATCAGACTTTATTGTACAATGTACAACATAAATGTTAGTTATGTTACTGTGTACCTCAGAGAGGTAATTACACTAGACAATTGAACACGACTCAACAACAGCAGGGATGCGGATTTACAAAGAAGACGGAATTCAAAGTGATGACAGTACAGTTGACTCATTTCTGACAAAACTGTTTTGATCTTAAAAAGCAACAGCTTCAAGGATGACATCTTGGACAGTAGATGTCCTTGTAGGTTCTTGACCTTGTTTACAGCACAGATTTGTTCTTCAAGTCGATGAAGTACCACTTGTCAACTGTAAATATAAACATGAGTTAGAAAACACATAGTGAAGGGACACTCTAAAATATAGTAATAATGCATTTTCATGCCTTGATGGGCTAAATGCACCTGTGGTCTAAAGGATAAAAATAAAGGGCATGAAACACTAATCTAAAAATGCCACTTATAATGCTTAATATTAAAAGTCCATGCACATGTACATGACTATTAAAACACTGTATACTATTGTTAATATACTGCCACCTTATAGTTTCCATAATTTTACATCTAATATATAGAATGTCATTGAATAGTGCTGGACATGTGTATGGTAAGAAACTCACTTGCTGCTGAATCTGTTTCTTCAGCAGGTTGTAGTTCAGGGCTGGCGTCAACAGTAGCCTGGGCGTCTGCAGCAGATATCATTTCTGCACTGTCCTTAACAGACACATTAGCACTGTAGGGAAAACAACAAGTTTGAACTTTCATAGCCTGATGAAATCAATATGCTATTGGCCCTCCAAAGGATCAGTCCTCTAGATGCTTGCTAGTAATTACTATACATGTAGCTACCTGTAAGTCAGGGAAGTCAGACCTTCCTAATACGGCTAACATTCGCTAAGTCGCTAAGTTCTCTCATCTAGCGACGGGGGCCGACATCGTCTACCAGATACCTTTGACCCAGTGTTCACGTCACACTTCAAAGAAGCCATGTGACAAGCCTCACTGGGTCAGTCTACTGAGGAAGACCAGAGTGACTGGTGGAAAGCTCAGTAGGTGAGAGAACTTTCAGTATTGGATATAAAGTTTTAACTCTAAACATGAGTCTATATACCAGTAAATACATCCTTGCCGTACATAGTTTCACTAAAATAAAATATGTATGGCAAAATATAGCAATTGACGTAAGGTCCTTTTCTTCTCATTTTATTCCTTTTACTGATAAGGTTTGGTTGTATAAACCACCATTCAATTGTTCCATAGTTGGAGCCTATATTTGTCATGCTGTGGTTCCACTAGAAACTAAACTAAAAAGCTCTGGTTTTCTGTTCAGTGGCCAGTACTCACATTGCAAGGCCTTTGGTGTCCTTAACAGTTTTGTTGATAAGTGCCTTCCAGTGTTGGTGTGTCTCTTCTATAATTTTATGGGCAAAGTCCTGAAATTGAAAGAAGAACCCATCATCATAAAAATGTGAACATTCAGTCAAGTAGTAATTTAATCAAGAGCGAACATTAGACCATGTAAGTTTCATAGTCATTAATTCCTTAAAGATTGAAATTTTGTTACAAAAATGTTTCTACTGTCTCCATACTGCAAGGAAGGAAGGAAGTTATACTACATGTAGTAATAATGACATTAAACATGACCTGCTGAGGACAGTATACAGTAAAACTTGAAGACAAAATGACCTACCCTGTTCTTGGCCTCATCATTGAAAGCAAACGTGTTTGGTGGCTTTCCATCAGGCATCTTGTAGATCTTGAACCACTCAACTGTAGCCTGTAGAGATTAATAATCAGTAATCAGATTAAAGGTAGGTAAAGGTAAAGGCAGTAGTGGCAAGGAACTACGATGTCCAATTTCTTGCCATATATAGGTAAAGGCCTGTTTGAGGCCATAGGGGCAGTGAGTTGTTAATCCCGAGTCTAGGGCATTGTACAAATGTATTGAAAGATGGAGCCCTTCTCTCCCAAACTCCTGGCTAACTGGCTACCGTATCTGTTTATACCTCTGATGAAAACTTCATCCTCTATCAGAAATATGTCCAATTTCTGTTCTAATATTATTAATGTTTGTCCTAAGAATATGCAGGACAGTCATGGAGTTTGGTTTATGACAGATACAGATATAGCTCTCTCCACACAGAGCTTTTTTGCTATTATATAATACATTTGTTGGAGGTTATAAAACAGTCAGGTATTCTTAAAATGCACTGGGCAGCAAAAATGTCACATTACTATACTTACTGTCAGCAGTCCTGGGAACTTCTTCTCTACATCTTGTATGTCTACAATAGAACACAGAAGGAATAACAGTCACCACTTACTACATTAAAAACATGACATCATATCAACATCCGTGCTTAGGACACTGGTAGATTGACTTAGAACACCGGTAGATTTTTAAAGGACTGTGTACTTTGGTTTTATATGGTCAATAAAGCTCTTATCTTAATCCTGGTTAAGAGTGCTTTATAACATGACAAAGGTGACATAAAAAGTTCCTTACCGTCCATTTCTTTAGCCATTGGGTCCTCCACATCAACTGCTATCAGCTTCCAATCTGTCTCACCTAGCAACACAAACAGGGTCCTTCAGAGTTATCTTCAAAAATAGCTTTATTTGGTGTTAATAATACACACTTCAAACTGTCCAGAAACCATTGACTTTATGGGTGGTAACAGTCAATGCAGCAATCCAATTTTAACTGCACTAACCTGCATATTGTAGGTGGTATTTTCTTTTAAGTACACTGTAACACTGACATATACCTGTACTTGCCATCTGCATGATGCTTTATAGTGATACAATGTATATGAATTTGAGTATTGAACATGAAGTTAAACAATAAAAACAGATCAAACCTTCATCTATGAGAGCCAGAGTGCCAAGGACTTTAACCTGAACAATCTCTCCTCTTCTCTTGACCTGCAAAAGGATGCATGTATACTAACTATTACAGTTCAATAGTATGGAACATTACATGCAACAACACAACTAACGATATATATATCAGTTTTTAATACACACTGTATATGGTTGCATGGTGGATTTAATAATATAATGACCTACTTTTTTCAAGCATTGCTATTGTAAGTATTTTTTAAGGACATTGAGATTAATTGACATTAAGCGTAATTATCAACATGAAAAGAACTTACCCTATGGCCAATTTCACAGACATCGATGGGATCGTTGTCCCCCATACACTGAGTGGACTCATCCTTACAGTTTGGGTCTTCCCATGTCTGTTGGAGGATGAAAATGGGGGAAAAAATCTCAATATACTATGCACCATGCACATAGCACTCATCTGTTGCTTGCTACAACACCTGAAATTTAGGTGCCATGACTTTAACTTTATTATGTTGGAAGAGTAGTGTATAAATGATGTACACTTTTTTTCTATACAATACTGGACAATGCCCCTCACAGGATGTAACGTCCAGGCGGTCAAAGCCCTGGCGTGACCGGTGATGGTGGTGCAAAAACAGAAAGTAAATCAATAATATGGCAAAATATTTGGTGCACTATCTACAAAATCAAAAAGAAAAAGTGAATCTGTGGTATGTACAAAGTAGTCGCCCAGGGCTAAATGTGGCTAATGTGTGGCGCTGGGGTGGCCATAGTGCATGTATGTTATATGCAAATTGACATAAAACCTTAATGTTCCTTGAAACTATGTATGAAGACAGCTACTTGAGGAGCAGTTGTTCCTGTTACCTTCACACTACTGCCTAACCTTGGAGCCAATGCTGATTTGAGAGACTGGTCCAGCTCACCTGTGGTAGTGCGCCGTAGTTCCAGATGTAGCCTTTATGCGGGAAGCAGTTGGCCACATAACGCAGCTTCCCCTTCTTCACATCCTGCTTGATGGGGTTCAGTTTCTCCTTGGTGGCAATCTGAATGCAATCAATTTCATTTACAGTAAGTCAAGTTTGATTTAGAATTGCCTAGCAAGCCTTTGCTTCCCATGCAGCAGAAATTTCTTAGCTTGTTAAAAGAATCATGGGAGCAAGATTGCAACAAGAAATCATAGATTTAAAACTTCCAAAAAAAAACATCCTTCTGACAAACAGCCTACCCCTTCAATGTTGCTTAAAACATCATCACATCACCCCCCCCCCAAAATGTAAAAAATTTTGTATATACAAAACGTAACTATTGTATGAACATTCCAAAACATAAAAACAAGGATGTAAACAAGAAATGAGCTACAAACAAAAATAGTGTCATCGGGTTGGTAAAGTATAGCATACAGGAGTTTCCTTTTTTTTCCAATGGGCTACAAAGTTTTTCTTAAAAATGCTGACATTCTTACCTCCATCTTGGCATTAGTCCAGCGAGGCACCTCTACCACCATGTTGAAGGTCTTGTTCTGTATGTTACACAAAGGAAAAAAAACAACCTTTGTCCGTCTGGTATTCCGACACAAGCTAAAAAAACTGTAGAAAGACTAGTTCATATCCATGACCAAGTACAATTTGTATTGCACCCAAGCTTGTACAGGTTGTAGCAGCAAAACTATAGTATGACAAAAGTAGTTTTATCTCTTAGAGGTCATTAGAAGAACAACCTAGAAAGCTTTGCCAATGAGACATACAGTACATGTAACCTTGAATGGATGTCTCATTTATAATTCATAAACCACAACTAGTCAAGACCATACCTGGGAGTTACTAAAAGCCTGCCAGCACACCAGATTTACATGCATTATGCTTTCAGCCTTAAGCATCAATATGTAAGTATATTTATACACACAATGTCAGGCTTCAAGGTCACAGGTTCATTAAGAATAAGAATCACATTTGCCAGAAACACCCAGTTGCAGTGTAATGAATGGTCAAAGTAAAGTACTGTTGGTAATGCAATTTGCATGCAACAACTGAAATTGAATTAAAATTGTGTTTCAGTGGGAAGTAGAGTCTCCTTTTTGCACTCTTTGTTTTCAACATGTATCAATTGTTGTCTGTCTAGTTTATTTGTGTTTCTATATTTGTTTTATATGGATGACATACCTGAAACAAAGAAATTTATAGTCATATTGATATTACTCTGAATGGCAAGAGCATCTCAGCACCTTACCTCAGAGTTGGAGAACAGTGGGATGTCATGAAATGGTGAGACTGGCCCTTCTGGTCCCTCTGTGGACACAGAAAATCATCATCTGTTACACTTATCCCTCCTGTGTAAATACCTCAAACATATACTTTGCTTATCTAAATTCCACAACATGGGAAACACATTTCATGTCAGCATTTAAGGCCATTTATTGATTGAATACAAGCCAATTGTACAGTAGTATTCCATCATTATTATTATCATTATTAATATTGGTGTGGACTGTGGAGGTTGGCAAACCAGCTTCTAAACTACAGGTTTTGTTCTCCAATGTCAGCCTAGATAATTTAAAATGTTTTAACCTGATCAGCATAATATTTTTTTTGAGGGGGGGGGGTGAAGTCCAGGCAGGCAATCAGAAAAATCTGCAAGTCTGCTTCAAAACATGGCATGGGGAGATTAGACAGAGGAATGACTTAGTAAAACTTATTTAAGTCCACAGACCATGCAAACAATCATTGAATGGGACAATGAAATTCCTGTTGTACTATGTAACATACTGTGACCACATAACAATTGAGCCATGACAATCACTCAGACCTTGATTTCACATATATAACTCAATCAAAATGGACTAGTTGCAGTTAAGAAAAAGTTCAGTACTAATCATACAACACCCTGAATAATAATGAATTCTGAAAAAAAGAGAGAGCTGGCCGATTAATGGTACAACTTATACCTAAAGACTAGGGCTTTTTTTTACTATAGACAGGATCATCCTGTCAATAATTTCTTTACTATAAAATCAATCTGGCCAGTACATGAAAGAAGGCATACAGACTCCTTGTTTGTAACGTTACATGTAACATTACCATGTTTGGTGGACATAATGAAATTTCTAACTCTTGGCCGAGAAAATTAAGTTAATGTAATTCAATACAAACACTTGACTACTGAGTAGCACTTCAGAACTCATCAGTGTCTAATTGTCCTCCAAAAGAAAGGAACCTTCTCTCCTGCCCGTGTACTCTAAAGTCTGAAGCCCCAGGAGCCATGACATGACAGTTTCACAACTATGTCTTCACACTTTCACTTTCACTGAAACCCCACAGGGACCATGGATTATTTCTATAAAAAGAATGCCCCCGATGCCTCTATCCTGTATAATGAACAATTAAGGTTTTAGTTTAAACACACGACAGTTAAAAACAGAAGACACTTAACTTACACTCATAAACATTCTTTCACACATTTCAAACAGACGTCATAGGCAAACAACGCTTCTTTTTAAAAACAATCGACGTGGCAAAATCGACCTTTGGATTGACAGTACGGCCGGGCTAAGTAAGGTATGATTTACTGCATAGAATGTGCGAAACGAAACACACGTGCGTTACATTGGATTCTACCGAGAACACATAACAAGAACATGGTGTTTATGGACAACAATACAGCGTTTAAGACAACAAAACAGGTGACAAGGGTGATTTCTCAAAAATGTGCTAGAAGGGAGGGTGTGGCAGGATCAAAAGGCCGACCTCAAGTGAGGTTGGCTGTAAAAGGTTAACACAATTTAATGATGTGGAAATCTCGCTTTATTTGTCAATACTGGGTAACAAGTTAAAGCTAATATTTTTTCTCTGAAGCAGCACGGCTCTTTCTCTTACCTCATTCTTGTTATGGCCACAAGGAAATATACGGTGCACGCTCCTATAGTGCACATGCATGCCGGATCAGGTGTCAGCTACAACTGAACGGTGTACTTACTGAAGAAAATCCGATAGTCCAGGGTGTTGGGTGCTCCTCTCTCGATGGTTTGGTAAGCCATGGTCCCAAGAAGTCGAGACGACAAGCGGAGAGCACGGACGTTGGGGGTTTTTGAAGGGACCAGCAAGTTTAGCAGCACACGCGAGCCACAGCCAGGCAGCATGGACGCTACAGCGCACCGTAGGGGTGAAAGGTCGCGGAGGGGAGATCCATTTCACACGCGGGGGCCGGTGTGCAGGTCGTCGCGTATATATAAAAGGGAGATCCATTTCATACACAAAAGGGTACCTACGTACTCAAGGTCGCGGAACTCAGTAACTGAACCGAGTCGTCATGCATTTATTGATCAATAAATAAATAAATAAATAAATTTATTGATGTCAAAGTGTCAATAGTCCTTGATAGCACTATATATTAAAGTTGAATAGAATAGCATTACCATGTTTCTCTTACCTGTTTATGTATTGCATATCCACTCTTTATTTTTTTTAAAACACTGTTTATTCAGATCATGAAAACAAGTACAGGTAGAAGTACATATACATACACAGCTACTTTTAACAACTTTTACAGCCATATCCCCAAAATACACGGACCAATCACAAATACTCCATGTACAAAAAAGGTTTGTTGAATTCATACCCTATTAGAGCCCGTATAAATACTCATGTTAAAACATGTTGACTTAAAGAGTCCTAGTGAGACATTAATTTCAAATATTTTCAGATTTCAGTAATGTGATGAATACCAGAAACCAATTCCTGGCCATGGCGTGAGGGAAGGAAAGATGCGAAACTGTCCACCACCAGTCCACACACTCAGGGATGAGGTAAAAAATATTTTACCTCATCCCTAAATATGTGGACCAGCGACAGAGCGCCCACATCTCTCCCTCCCTCACACCATGTCCTCCAGATTACATACTTTGCTATGTTTAAAGTAGTGTTTATGTCTCTAATTGTGCTGGGCAAGTTTGACAAGTATGTTTTATATCCTAATATCAAGATATCATAATTGATTTTTTACATCGCACTGAAAGAATTTGCATATAAAATTTTCGACACATTTCCAGAAAACATTTAACCTACAACATGCAATAAACATATGATTATAATCATCGATACAGTTACATAAATTACAAACATTAGTAGTTTTTATCTTCCAAACCTTAAGTAACTTGCCACATGGAATATACGGTGTAAAAGCTTATAGTTCAATTGCATCAAATGTTTACCAATAGGATTATATGTTTGGTTTTTCCATATGTTTTTCCATATAGGCTTACAATTTAATTCAACCTCCCATTTATTTTGTACACAAGGCAATTCAAATTTCTGTTGCATAAGTAGTTGGTATATGTATATCCACTCTTTATCCTGTATACCAACGTTATTAGTTTTAACTTAGTAGAGATAGTAAGTTATATATAACTAAGTAGATCGTATACGTAGAACTTCGGTTGGTTAGCATATAGTAGTTTTTGTTACATTCTGTACACATTGTTCTTGTCAATGTCTGTTTGCGATTAGCCCTCGGGCATGAACTAGCAATAAATAAATGCTTTACACATAACTTTTAAAGAACTGCTTTAAACATAACTTTTTCAAGTCGACTAGAACAGTCGACTTGAGCGAAAATTTAGCTGTGTATTAGAAATGGTGTGTGTAAAGCGGGCCAATAAAGAACTCAACTTGGGTCAACAGATAGACATCACAAGTAACAGTGCCGACGCTGAAAGGGGCATGTAGACAATCTTGAACTGTGGTAAAAAAAAAATCAAGATATGTTTAATATTTTCACAATCAATTCTCTTCCGATGATCTTTGTTTTCAAAATCCTTCTCATCCAACAACTAAGTCGTGATCAATCACATGCACAATACGGTTTTTATTTTGATCATTAAATCTGATAAGTAAAGCAACCAGCTACTACTAACAGATAGAGGACGATCAATATGATACATTCATCTAACTTAACATCTAAGAGAATAGGTCCGTAGGAATGAAATCTATACAAATCTGAATCTGATTTTGGCTATGAATAGTGGTGTGCTAAAGGCAAAAAAATAGTGTCACTTTTCCCCCTTTCCTCAGCACTGACCCATTCACGGTGTTGTAACATACACATGTTGTTCATGCACGTGTTGCGGGGGCGTTCTATTATTAATTATACATTTGGGCCACCTCCAGTTTATTACTTTGCACTTAATTTGTCTGGCCAATTTCCTACATACGCAATCTACTTTTGATGCAACCTACTTTTTGCTGCCACCAATCACAATAGACGATGCACATATGTCTAGCCTTATCCTGTTACTACTGCATAGGTGTTTTCTTTTTCATTCAAGAAATACTATTTTTGATCATTTTTCTCAAACGATATCTTCTCAGTGAGCACTGCTTTCAGAGAGTCCCTGTGCCATGGAATTATAACCTCTACCAGGCTTCGGGAGGCGGTCGGAAAGAGTACTCGGCGGGTGCGGCAACATGTACTCTCTAGCGGACCAACTCCCTCGGCATGTTATCTCTCTATTTGGCCAATTTCTACTCTTTCCAGTCACCCCCGAAGCCTGGTATAGGCTAACAGAAAGACGAAAACTATAAATACAGAACATACAAGAAATAATGATCACTAATACTATATATACTTCAATATGTCACAAGCATTTGTAACCGTCGTGCCTACATTTAGAAATTCAAAAAAAGTTAGATTACACCAAGCCTCCTTGAATACACATACTTTCGCCACTTTCTTAAATTCTCCCATTGAATCTGTCATAGAGATATTGACAAGACGTGGGACTAAATCAGAAACTTTTGAAGATATGGGACACCAATGTTGAAAGGTTTAGTGGCACCCATCTGTTTCCGCCTCAATATAGTGTGGAGGTCCAGTGTCAGTTCGTCTTCATGCCGCACTGACGAGTGATGTCTGTCACTCATGCGGGTTGTACGCTGAACATGCGCTGTGCTTGATCGCTTGTGAGCTACACTGGTACCGCTGCATTTCTTGACTCTCGTTCCCTCCGTCCATTCCGTAAAGACCGTCGCCGTCTCCTGTCGGATCCCCCTCAGTTTCCGCTTCACCAGCTTCAAAGTTTGGTCGTATGTCGTCTTCAGCTGACAGCGGTTGACCGACTGGCCGTTTGCCGTTTGTTGCCTGCTCGTCAGTACCACTGTTTTCCAGTGTTGGTAAATCTGCATCTGCACAGTCCCTTTCGGCTTGTGGGGAGTCAGGGTAGCCGACTGCATACGGCTGGATCTCATAGTCGTCGTCTTGTTCTAGGTCATCATTGCTGGCCTCTGGATGGGACTGAAGCTGTGGTCCTGGCTGATTGGTGTAGCTGTCTTCTGGGGTCTTGTTGTGAGCAGGGGTAGGTCGTCCGCTTGTGGTTGAGTTTCTGTCATGTCCGCCTCCCGGTAGAACCGAGTCATCATAGGCCACCGCATATGGCTCGATATCTTCTGTCTCTCTTTGTCTTGTAGCTTCTCCGTTACTTCCCGTTGGTACGGCGTGATGAGGCAAATCTGTACCACGATAGACCTTTATGATGAAGAGGATAACTCCTATTGCCAACATGAGGAGCGGAGGCACCGTCACAGCGGTGATTATGGCAGTGACCATCATGTTGACACCATCGTTGATGACGGGATTCCCCCCAAAGTTAATGACATAGTTAATCTGCGTGGTATGCTCAGAGACTGAACTGTTGAGCGACATTACTGTATATCCATCAGTGGGAATGGTATCATTTCTAGAGGCTGTCGTCATGGATTGTTCAGTGAATGGTGTAGACTCGGTTTCTTGCTGTGGCCTGACTTCGTCAGTTTGACAGAGCTCGTTTTCCAGGGTAGTCAGGTTAGTTCCCCGCAGGTCAGGAGGAGAGGCACACTTCAGAAAGTTGGATTTAGTAATTTGCGGAAGGTCCGGCAGGCTGCAGATGAACCACGTTAGATCCCTTGTCACATCGCAGCTTGTTGTGTCTTATATCCAGATTCAAGCCCCTGGTTTGCCCCAACAGCAAACGCATAACATCTTTGTCGATAGTAGTGATGTGATTCCTTTGAACGTTTGCCAGCAACAATGGGTTAAACTTCATATCTAGAAGTGCGTTAACGGGCACTGAAGTCAGGCGGTTTTGAGACAACCGCAATACCCGAAGCTGTGGTAGGCCAAGGAATGCATGTTTGGATATGCTGGAAATCATGTTCTTGTCGAGAAGTAACGCAACTAATTTCCCAAGCCCGAGGAAAGTGCCAGGCTCTGAGGGTCAATAAAAGAGGGCTCATGAATTGTGAGATGGACTAGATTCACAGCTAGTTGGTGAATTGTATACGGTATAAAAATACCAGGTGATCTAAATGTGGTTTCAATTTTGAATACAATGATGAATATGAAATGACTTTGAAGCAACATGGAATATTTCGTGCATTTGTTTTTCTTACAGTTTTCGCCTCACATGTACGTCTAGAAAACTACAAAACGAATTCTCACATTGGAAGCAGTGGGCGCTCAAACGTAAGTTTCTCAGTCAAACACAAATAATTTACTTCATTCAGAATTATATAGCATAGTACTATTTATGGACCCTATACACCATTTGCATGCTCTCTCTATTCAGCTCTATTTATCTATTTACTCATCTGCCCACATGTACATAACGTTATATCAGTATACAATGTATATGATACGCCTTTCAAAATGACATCGCTTTGAAACTTACCTAGCCTGGAGATGAGGTTGTCAATGAGATAAAGGTGATTAAGGTGCCGGAGACCTTGCACCCGGAAAGCCCCTGGCTGTATTGTGGAAACGTTCGACTGTCGGATATTCAGATAGTGAAGTCTTATCAAGATAGGGAGGTTCTGAAAAGACTGTTCAATGAGCTCCGGAGAAGTGAGATGCTCGATCAAGACTGTTACAGTCTCTGTTGGAAAGTCGGTTGGTATGGCGTCAAGACATACAGGAAAGCTGTAGGTTCCTCCATTCCCAACCCAGCTGCACGGAGAACTCTCCCCGTTTGGATCGGGACAAAGACAAGAATTGGCCACTTTCGAATAACAGTTCTCTGGGCATTGAGCCGCTTCCAGCACAAAAAGTAAACGATTGGAGACCAGAAGAAGCAAGACCAGTGCTTTCCTCTGAACCATTTTGATTTAATGTGTGCGCCTTGGTAATTTCATCACAGCTGGCCACTTCATGATGAGATGCATGAATCGAAGATTTCCGGTTCCCAGAACTGAATGTCCATGCGCGATGATTAGTCTATTGACCTGTTCCATTTACTACTAGAATTGCGGACATTTGCTCTGGAGCAAATACAGCATATATCAGTCCATCTCCCTACCCACTACATGTATAATGTACTATTCCAAACTCACACCTGTGCAAAAGTAGAACATTCCAAAAGCGAACTATTACCAAGTGGTCCAAGCCTGAAATAGATCCCAATTTTTAAAAAAGAAGATTGTTGGCAGTTGTTCCTATTGTCAGTGTGTGGCACTGGAGCCTGGAACTGGTTGTTCTAGGGCAGATGATCCATTATCTCAACAGCCAATCAGCAAGACGAACCAGTAAACATTGCTTTCAGGGAGAACCCCGTGTCATACAAAGACGCAAACTAGAAATACAGAACATGAAAGATATAATACTGCTAATACTATATACACATCAACATGTCATTATGCATTTGTAACCCATGTCGTGCCTACATATAGAAAGTCAGAGAAAGTTGAATTATACATCTTCCGCCACTTTCTTACGTTCTCTCATTAAATCGTCCAGAGATATTGACAGATATTGATCAGAAACTATAGAAGATGGGAGTTACTTCTTCAAACTTTCGACCAATGTTACAAAGTCATTTAATGAGTGCCATCTGCGTTTCCGCATCGTTGTGTGGAGGCGCAGTGTCACTCGGTCTTTATACAGCACTGGCTGGTGATGTCTGTCACTCAATCTGTCAATCATGTGGGTTGTACGCTGAACATGCGCTGTGTTTGGTGGCTTGTGAGCCACTCTTGTACTGCTGCATTTCTTGACTCTCGTCCCCTCCGTCCATTCCGTAAGGACCGTCGCCGTCTCCTGTCGGATCACCCTCAGTTTGCGCTTCACCAGCTTCAAAATTTGGTCGTATGTCGTCTTCAGCTAAAAAGGATCCTTTGCCGTTTGTTGCCTGCTCGTCAGTACCACTGTTTTCCAGTGTTGGTAAATCTGCATCTGCACGGCCCCTTTCGGCTTGTGGGGAGTCAGGGTAGCCGACTGCATACGGCTGGATCTCATAGTTGTCGTCTTGTTCTAGGTCATCATTGCTGGCCTCTGTATGGGACTGAAGCTGTGATCCTGGCTGTTCATCATAGGTGACTGCATACGGCTGAATGGTGTAGTTGTCTTCTGGGGTCTTGTTGCGAGCAGGGGTAGGTCGTCCGCTTGTGGTTGAGTTTCTGTCATGTCCGACTCCCGGTAGAACCGAGTCATCATAGGCCACCGCATATGGCTCGATATCATCGGTCTCTGTTCGTCTTGTACCTTCTCCGTTACTTCCCGTTGGTACGGCGTGATGAGGCAAATCTGTACCAAGATAGACCTTTATGATGAAGAGGATAACTCCTATTGCCAACACGAGGAGCGGAGGCACCGTCACAGCGGTGATTATGGCAGTGACCATCATGTTGACACCATCGTTGATGACGGGATTCCCCCCAAAGTTAATGACATAGTTAATCTGCGTGGTATGCTCAGAGACTGAACTGTTGAGCGACATTTCTGTATGTCCCTCAGTGGGAATGGTATCATTTCTAGAGGCTGTCGTCATGGATTGTTCAGTGAATGGTTTAGACTCGGTTTCTTGTTGTGTCCTGTCTTCGTCAGTTTGGCAGAGCTCGTTTTCCAGGGTAGTTAGGTTAGTTCCCCGGAGGTCAGGGGGAGAGGCACACTTCAGAAAGTTGGATTTAGTAATTTGCGGAAGGTCCGGCAAGTTACAGATGAACCACGTTAGATCCTTGTCACATCGCAGCTTGTTGTGTCTTATATCCAGATTCAAGCCCCTGGTTTGCCCCAACAGCAAACGCATAACATCTTTGTCGATAGTAGTGATGTGATTCCTTTGAACGTTTGCCAGCAACAATGGGTTAAACTTCAGATCTAGAAGTGCGTTAACGGGCACTGAAGTCAGGCGGTTTTGAGACAACCGCAATACCCAAAGCTGTGGTAGGCCACGGAATGCATGTTTGGATATGCTGGAAATCATGTTCTTGTCGAGAAGTAACGCAACTAATTTCCCAAGCCCGAGGAAAGTGCCAGGCTCTGAGGGTCAATAAAAGAGGGCTCATGAATTGGGAGATGGAGTAGATTCACAGCTAGTTGGTGAATTTTATACGCTATAAAAATACCGAGTAATCCAAATGTGGTTTCAATTTTGAATACAATGATGAATATGAAATGATTTTGAAGCAACATGGAATATTTCGAATTTTTTAATTTTTTTAGCAGTTTTCGTCTTACATGTATGTCTAGAAAACTACGAAACAAACATATTCTCACATTGGGATCAGTGGGCGCTCAAACGTAAGTTTCTCAGTCTAACACAAATAATTTATTGATTCAGAATTATATAGTATATATTATTATGGACCCTATACACCATTTACATGCTTTCTCTCTATTTATGTATCTACTCATCTGCCCACGTGTATATAACGTTATATTTGTATACAATGTATATGGTACGCCTTCCAAAATGACATCGCTTTGAAACTTACCTAGCCTGGAGATGAGGTTGTCAATGAGATAAAGGTGATTTAAGTGCCGGAGACCTTGCACCCGGAAAGCCCCTGGCTGTATTGTGGAAACGTTCGACTGTCGGATATTCAGATAGTGAAGTCTTATCAAGATAGGGAGGTTCTGAAAAGACTGTTCAATGAGCTTCGGAGAAGTGAGATGCTCGATCAAGACTGTTACAGTCTCTGTTGGTAAGTCGGTTGGTATGGCGTCAAGACATACAGGAAAGCTGTAGGTTCCTCCATTTCCAACCCAGCTGCAAGGAGAACTCTCCCCGTTTGGATCGGGACAACGACAAGAAGTGACCACTTTCGAATAACAGTTCTCTGGGCATTGAGCCGCTTCCAGCACAAAAAGTAAACGATTGGAGACCAGAAGAAGCAAGACCAGTGCTTTCCTCTGAACCATTTTGATTTAGTGTGTGCACCTTGGTCACAGCTGGCCACTTTATGAATAAATGCATGAATCGAAGATTTTCTGCATGTTTCCTTTTCGAAAATCCAAGAATGTGACAGGCGCGATGATTAGTCTATTGACCTGTTCCATTTACTACTAGAATGGCGGACATTTGCTCTGGAGCAAATACAGTATATTTCAGTTGTCTGGGCATTGTTGGGCCGCTTCTTATCACAAGATGTAAACGACTGGAGACCAGGAGAAGCAAGACCAGTGCTTTCCTCTGAACCATTTTAATTTAGTGTGTGCGCCACTTTATGATGAGATGCATGAATTGAAGACTTCCTGTTTACTTTTCCCAAAATGTGTAGAGGTGATGAATTCTATTGACCTTCTCCATTTCCTACTAGAGAGTACAGTAACACACAGTAATCTTAACATTCACATCAGACACAAGAAGGATAATGCTTTATGAAACCTTTATTTGCATAGAGGAATAAGAACAGAAACTGATGTCATCAATATTCCATTATGACATGTAACGGTAACACTAACTACCACCAAATGCACAAATTACAAACTGTAACAACAAATCAGAGAGTTCACCACAAAGCATACAATACGACATGCAGTTGTAGGCGTGAAACAGCGAGAACGCAGTAAAAAATCTAGACAAATATACTGAATATGGCTGGAGTCAAGTCCTAAAATATCCTAGTCTGTTGGTGTTTCGATCAACCGGTCAGGACTTCTTAGGCTGTGAGAAACAAGAGAGATTTGTTTAGTTGTAAAATATAATTCTTCCTTTTTATTCCACATTGCTCATTTCTTGTCTGACAAAATATTGCGACAGCCTTTTTCAAAACAGACAATTTTCAGATACACAAAACTGCTTGCATCACAGGGGGTACATGACATTTCTCTCAACATATGAAGGTGTCTGAATAGATACATGATGTATTTACCGGTAAACATGTGCTCGTCATCATCAGGTAAGCTCAAAAACGTTAACTTGTTGTTAACATGCTAGAATGTCATCAGAAAGGCTGACTATGTTCACCCTGTAAATAAATTTTCTGTGGGTCTTAATTCATCTATTGTAGTACGTACTGTCAATAGACAGATTTATGTAATATTTATGAAACCTTACCTCTTGGCTTACAACAGTAGCCCTGAGATTTACCAGGGAGGATGTGGCAGAAGTTGTTGCCACTACAGCTACCATACTCAGTACACGTCTCCTTTTGGGGCTTCTGACCAAAGCAAGGCTTGCCTGAAACAAAGGTACAGACAGTTACTTATGAAAACACAAAGTTACTGCACAATGTTACACCTGTTTTGTCCTCCCTCCTATATGTAACTTGTGGAGCATTCAAACAAATATTTAAACAAGTTGCTCAGGGGGATGAACTGTCTACAGCAAATAAAAGGTACAGTCATGATCAGTTACTAAATCTTCAAAATGTTTGGAATTTTTAAGATGTTTCCTTTGGTAATCTTTTAGCAGAAACTCATAAAACTCGCAAACAGGTGCCAGTACATGTACTTCCACTATGTTGCCATTATTGATGCTGTAAACCTAGAGCAATTATTTATACAGTAACTGTACTCAACTCAAACTGTAGTATAGGGCAGGTACAGTTAGGGATGAAATGATTTAAGAAATGAAGATAAACATGAAACTTACTACAGCTGAGTTTCTGGTGAGTGGTTGTCTCTGATCCAGGCACAACATGGCCGTCCTTCTCCACACACCAGCACTTGTTGGTGACAGGGTCACACTGGTGGGACTTGTAGTACCCCCTGGTGTCACACTGAGGGTCCCTGGTGATGTCATGTCCCTGAGACACAAGTGTCTGGATATCCTGCTGCTCCTTCCAACATGGAGGCTCTGAGATGGAAGAGAGAAAGAAGTTTTAAAAATATAGACACTTGGAAAAAATGGTTTACGTTTAGGTAAAAGCATTGCACTAGAGGTCTCTCAAACACACTGTTTAGGAATATCAAAGAGGCACATACATGAAATAAGCAAATAAATGGTAAGGGAGGTTGCACTCAGTGGATAGTGTTCAGCACCAAGGACAAGACATGTTTTGTGCTTATAGATGTAAGTGTGTGTGTGTGTGTGTGCTTTTGTTTGTCACTGTGTGTACAAATGTGTGTAAATGGATTTAGGAAATAGGCATGGTTTTTAAATCAAAACCATGCTTATTTCCTAAATACTGTTTGTTACTGGTTTAAAAACCAGTAACAAACCGTATAGTCACTGTTTTCTAGGTGAAAATGATTATAGATTGAATTGTAAAAAATAATGTGGCAAATATATGATAAAGAAGGATACGTCTCAGACAGTCACTACAATTTTGGATATCATCTTGACTGTTAACCATTTCAGAAGGAATAGAACACCTCTACTCCTTACCATCAATACATTCCACAGTGCTGCCGTCGGCCTTGCGTGTGCCTGGCTTCAGCTCTCCATCACGCCCCACACACCAGCAGGACCCTTCACTGTCACACTGCTTGGGGGTGTAGAAACCATTGACGGCACATCTCGGGTTCCACATGGTGTTCCAGTTGGTACGCTTGGTCACAGTAGCATCACAGGGGCCAGCTGCATACACAAGAGGAAAAAACGTATTACTGGTAGTCTACAAAAATGTACCTTATACGTATGTAGGTTAGACATCCAGGATATAAGGTACGAAAGTTACTCAAGCAACTGCAAAGAAAGTGGATGGATTTACCAAAAATCAGGCGCTGATGCACAACAGCTGTATATTATATCTTGATACAGCAATATAGCGATCTCTCTCCAGTATAATACATTTTCAGCGTGTGACCTCAAACTGGCCTAAAAGAATGACTTAACCAATAAGTATTGTTTTTGATTGATGAGTAAAGTCTTACTTGTCTGACAGATGACTTCCTGGTCGAACCTGTCCACCCAGGTGGCCTTGCAGCTGCCGCAGTAGTTGGGTTTGCAGATGGCGTCGGGGAAGCCTGGGCAGGTGGCAGTCAGGCACGGGTTCTTCAGGCAGTGGGCCACGTGGGAAGACTCGCACTCTGGGAACACAACAAAAAAGACACTGGTTCATCATCATCATCATGTTCACAAGGTAACCCGTATGTCAACAATGGCATACCCATGGCCCTATTGCTGAGGTGTTGGACTATTACATGTAATATTATGTTGTCACTCTGTCTTGCCAAATGGTAACATTAATGACATATTATTGCACTGATGTGAATCAACTTCAGTTCCTTGATAATTGAGGATGTTCTTACTGTCATCACACATGACTTCGCTGGCGCAGCACTGTCCCTCACTGGGGATGACCTGACAACTAGACTCGACCTCCACATGAGGACACTGCTCCACGCGGCACTTGATGTCTCCACGGGCACATGTGCAGTGTGTGCACTGCTCAACCAGCCAGCTCTCTCCAATAGACCACTCCTTGCCCACAAGGTCAATACACTCTGCAACAAGAAATCAGAGATTTCAGACATCCGGGAAGTGCTTTGAGTTTTCCCGAATGTGTAGGCTAGGGGTTTGTTTGATTTAATTTAATACACAATGGCCTCAACATATAGTAAAATCCTGCTAATATGGGTATTGCAACAGTGAATAGCAGAATATAAAAATAAAAGGACAACTTACTGTCTTCACAGACAAACTGTGGGCAGCACTGTCCCTCAGCGATGACAGGGGTGCAGCCAGATGGTGTAGGTGCACAGGTGTCGCTGTGACACATGGCCTGGCCACCCATGCAGGTGCAGGTGGTGCAGGTGTCCTTCTGCCACTGGTCACCCTCACGGTACATGTGACCGTTGTGGACACAGGTGCTGGGCTCTGGAACACAACGTGTACATAATAGTTTATAAATAGTTTAACAACCTTTATCTCATAAAGTACATATTAAGTGGGATGCAAACCATACAAATTTAAAACAATGCCTGCAAGGTGAGGGAGCCACATCACTCTATAAAATATTTCGACAAAAATGTACAATGTATTGTCTCATGCACTTGTAATGTCTGAATAAAGAGACTCACTGCAGATGGGTGTGCTGTGGTGAACCCTGGAGCCGGGGACCTCCTCACCAAAGCGGTCCACACACCAGCAGTAGCCGGTGGAGCCGTGACACTGGGTGGCGTTGTAGTATCCATTGATGTCACATGATGGCACAAACACTCCGGTCATGGGCACAGTCCTGCCCATCAGCATCAGGGATGGAACCTTCTGGAGGGCAAAGTGGCACGGGCGCTTCTTGTCCACTACACAGGGAGGGAATAAGAAAGACACATTCAAAAATCTCAATGACCAATGATTTTTAGTCACAGATTTTTGTCCAATGGAAAAGGGGATATTTTGCTCTGTTTTGTTCTATTTGAATCCATTTCGCACTTTCTGTTGACCCTTACTGTGAGTACAGACAACAGTAGGGCAGCAGGCTCCCTCCACATGGACGACCTCACAGTCGGGATGAGGTGTGGGGCAGACGGTGGGGGTACAGATGCTCTTGCCATTCCTGCAGACACAGCTGGTGCACTTGTCCACATTGTAGGTCTGACCATCGGGGATCACAGAGCCACTCTGAGTCATACAGCCTGGTCAATCAGAAAAGAATATCAGTAAAAGGTAGTTCCACAGCCTTTTGTGGCTGCAGGGACAGAATCAAAACAATGACCTTTTGATCTCCTGTCCCTTATCCTAACCACCTGGCCATTTGACACCAGTACAATAATTCAAAATGCAATTATCATCATATCACTTATGTTGAATGACTGAATTTCAAAGGAGGAGCTTGGACTAACTTATACGTTACCAACTATATCTTGACACATCTCAAACTATACGTATATCTTAGGAAAATAAAGTCCTTGCATATTGAAATGCAAGATTGCAGAATAGACCAAGATCAATCCAAAGCCTCCATACTTACAAATCAGTCAATGTAAAGACGATAAGAATTTTTTTGTGTCCTCATTTTATGTCCAAGAAATGTTTCTAAAGTCTTTATGAGAGAAAAATGTGTAGCACAAACATTTTAAGAAGCAGACATATATAAGACAAACTTGACACTCACTGTCCTGGCACTCGAAGCGTGGGCAGCACTCGGTATCACTGTAGATGGGCTTGCAGCCAGTGGGAACCTGGGGGCAGGCCTGGGCGGTGCAGATGGCCTTCCCTGACTGACAAGTGCAGTTGGTGCAGACATCTTCCTGCCAGTGCTGACCCTCCTTGGTGCACAGGCGCTCCTTGATAGCTGGGAAGGCAAAAAGTATGTTATCATTACGCATTATTTGTAAAAAAAGTCAATTCCCTGGCTGTCCTTATCTTGTTTCATGGACAAATGTATTGTTCCAGATACACTTTGACTTCTAAATGTTGTCATTGTACTACTGTAATACAAGGCTTTCAAGTGGCTCTGAATATTAGACTTATCTTACATGAAGTACAATATCTTTTACTTGTAAGAATTGACCATAATACAGGCTAAGTCTTACATACAGGAAGCACATTCAAGTAAATTCTTACGGCAGTCGAAGGCAGGGCAGCAGTGTCCGGGGGTGTGGACAGGCAGGCAGCCGTGGGGAACAGGCATGCACTTGGAGGTGTGGCAGGTGATGTCACCATTCATGCAGCTGCAGACGGTGCAGGAGTCTCTCTGCCAGGTGGAGCCCTGCATGTGGGACTCACCCGTCTCATCAACACAGTCTGCAAACACAATAACAGGCCTGGGTTAGAAGTCTGGTCAATGTTTCACTGTTCCATTGAATATGTGTTTGTGGAACACCAGCTAGGATACAGTGATGCTGCCTTGGATGGTCTTCAATGTGATCTATCTACACTGTATTTTAGTAATTTCACAAGATTGAGATTACCAGTTAATTTTTTGTCTGATACAATCTCTAACATGCAGGTAGTGACAGCCAATTTTATAATCATACTATATATTTAGTTTGTTTGTTTGTTTGAGCCTTTATTTCAACTCGATATGTAACTGTGTTACATGCTCTAATCGGCCGCTATTTCGGCCGCTTTTCATAGAGGTCAAGCGTGGAGGAGTGTCAGGGGGTCATAAATACTACTTACTCACAAATGAAAACAAAGTAATAATTTTTATACATAAGGTACTCATACAAAGTAAATAAATAAACAAAATGGCAATAACTAATAAATAACTCATAAGTCGTTGTGTCCAAAATCGTTCAGTCAAAGTCAGTTACGATACTAGCAGTCTTTTAAAGGTGCCAAGAGTAGGTGCTGCTCTAACATGCTGCGGAAGATTTAGTGAGTAGAACATCACCATTCAATGCCCAGCTTGTTAAACATTAATCCTGTTGACTAAATCCAAAGCAGACACCCCTTGCCATATAGCAGGCACAAATACAACTTTATCTGTGATTGGTTGATCACGTGGTAACCTGATAAAAAACTGCCTTTCAAGAACGTGTCTGTCCAGTCAGTCATCCCTGTCCAGCTGCCAACCACTGTATGTTTGTTTATTAGCAAGCACTAGCTTGCAATCACTGTTTGTATGTTTGTTTGTTTGCAAGCACTACAATTTCCTTGATACAAAAGTACACAGCTTGCATACATAGACAGGTTAGACGTTTGACTTACGGGCAGAGACTGGCTCCATGCAGGTCCTGGCACATCCGTTGGAGCAGCAGAGCTGGTTGGGAGCACACATGTCATCATGGCTGCACTCATCAACACACATCCCGAAGGTGCCATACTTGATGTGTGGGCACACCTGCTCTGGCACTGGAGAATAGAGGCAAAAAGTTACCTCAGTCCATACAAAAGATTGTCACATTTTGCCCTAAGTTGGATACATTTATAGTGTTGTATATAGTACATACAACTACACTTTTTTTAAGTACAGACTAGATTTGCCAAGCCTTCAATGCTAAACATGCCACACTGAGAGGACATGGAAAAATCTAAAGGAAAGATTTCTGCACAGATGAAAATGGTACCTGTATATAGTTCCAGGTGCTTAAGACTATTATAGGTCTATCATAGTTCCACATGCCTTCTGACTACAGTATGTTGGCAGCTCTCCCACTTACGTTCAGCACAGGTGCAGGTCTGGCAGCCACTGCTGTCGGTGAGGAAGCCGTGAGGACAGAACTTGTGGCAAGGCCTGGTCCTGCAGACAGACGTGATCTGGACAGTAGCTGTTCACAGGAAACAAGAAAATTTTCAATCAATTAATCAACAGGCAAAATACTCCTTTTTACAGTTAGTACACAAAAAGTTTTAACATTTGAAATGTGACTTTGCTTGATATTAGTCATCATTAGTCTAACAGCACTATTCGATTTTCTATCAAGTAACACCTAAAAATACCTGGAACATTCCAGAACTTTGTACCATTTCCACACATGCAAGTTTGACGAAATCTTACTTGGCAGTCTGCATTCACAGATTTCACAGCCTTCCTGGTTGGTCATGAAGCCGTAGGGGCAGAACTTCCTACAGAGGCTCACCTCCCTGCAGACCTCAGTATCTACTCAACACACAACAAAAACAGATCATTACAGTGGGATGTACTCTACTGTGACATGATTACTGTACACAGTGGAAATCAGTTCAGCACCAAGGACAAGTATGTCTAACTGAGTGGATGGTGCTCAGCACCAAGGACAAGTATGTTAACTTAGTGGATGGTGCTCAGCACCAAGGACAAGTATGTTAACTGAGTGGATGGTGTTCAGCACCAAGGACAAGTATGTCTAACTGAGTGGATGGTGCTCAGCACCAAGGACAAGTATGTTAACTTAGTGGATGGTGCTCAGCACCAAGGACAAGTATGTTAACTGAGTGGATGGTGTTCAGCACCAAGGATAAGTATGTTAAGTGAGTGGATGGTGATCAGTACCAAGGACAAGTATGTTAACTGGGTGGATGGTGTTCAGCACCAAGGACATGTATAATGCACTGAGTATGTATGTTTTGTGTTTGTGTGTGTGTGTGTGTGTGTGTGTGTGTGCGCTTTTGTGTGTCACTGTGTATGTGTATGTGTTTGTGTGTACAAATAGATGCAGGAAATAAGTATAGTGATTTTAATATAAGTAACAGTATATTCTAAATAGTATACTCACTGTACCCATACTAAATACAAATGGACATTGTAATGAGTTGTAATGAATAATGTGGTGGTTACCTGTGGGTTTGCACTTGCAGATCTCACAGCCGAAAGTGTTGGTGGCATATCCCTGCACACAGGTCAGGGGGCAGGTCTCCTCGGTGAGTGGGGTGCACACAGCTGAAGGGAGGACAAAACGTCAACATGAGTGTGTTATAAAGGAGGTACAAACAGAAAATGTATGCATTCGTCAACTGTTAAAGATACTTAGTAATGCTCTGGTGAGGGAGGGCCCCTGCAAGATACAAAGCTTGCACTATCTGTGTTGATCAGGGAGCAGTGTGTCATGCTGTTACATTGATCATTACTTAAGAAATATATTTCATTAGTTACCAATGGTTTCAGTTTGTATGATCAGTTTAATGCAGTTGGCAAGTTGATGAAAAGTAGCACTGCTGTAGGACAATCATCCTCCCTTGGATATGGAATCAACCAACTTACAAGGCCTCCTGCACTGACAGATGGTGCAGCCTTCCTCGTTGGTTGCCCGTCCCCAGGGACACTCGGAGTGGCAGTCCTGGACCACGGGACAGCGGGATGGGCGCTGCTGGCACTGGCAGATCTGACAGCCGGACTCGTCGGTCATGAAGCCGTGCTTGCAGGTCAGGTCACACATCTCTGTGCCAAGGGCCTGGCAAGGGGCTGCAAGTACAAACACACATCTTTCAAATTCTGGCATACCACATAACATTAGTCTTTACTTCGAGTCCAACCCTTTTTCCTAAGCATTTGGAGGCCTGTGTGGTAACTATTAGAACCCAGTGTGTGATAACCCCATATATATTGAACATAATCAAGGACCGGGTAAAAGAAGATACATACTGGGCAGCTTGCACTTGCAGATCTGGCAGCCCTGCTCATCAGTGGCAAAACCAAATGGACAGTGGATAGAGCACTCCAAATCTTCACACAGAGACTCTGTCAGAAGGGAAACCAAACAGCACAGTGGTTAGAGGACTTATTTAAGGATGACATCTAGTCTGTAGTTTTCAAATGTTGTGTTGGAAAAGATATCGTATGCAAGGAACAAAATTCTAATGTAAGCTAATCCAACAAGACTTCTGGGCTTTGTACAAGTGCAGTTCGTTCTGCCAACATGCTAGCAGCATATACTAGTATATGACTGTTACCTGTTGGTGGGATCCTGCACTTGCATGTCTCACAGCCGTACTCATCAGTAGCCCAGCCGTGCTCACACAGCATGCGGCACTTCACTGGCTCACAGATAACAGCAACTGGAACAATCAGGAAAGCAGAACAACGATGTCAAAGCATGCTATGGCCCTTCAACAAATATACAAAATATACAAATTGTAAATCAATACACAAATATAGATCCAGGTAATATATGTGATGATATATGTATATACCTGGTGGCTTGCATGCACAGATATCACATCCATGGCTGTCGGTGGCCCAGCCAAATGGACAATCCAAAGAGCAACCCTCGAAAGCCTGGCATTCACTTGTAAATGCTGAAAAGAAGTTTTGAGTCCATTACAATCTTTATCAGGTATGTCTAGGAATCTAAGCGGTGAAGATGAAAATTTTTGTATTGGAACTATTTAGAATTTGCCAAAATGGGAAAAAGAGGGATTCCAAACTTAAAGCAAAGTAGAGAGTGCCAGAGAATACCAGACAGTGTCTATTGTACTGTAAGGTGACAAAGTTGAGTCGTCAGTATACTTACGTTGCTTCCTGCACAGGCACATGTCACAGCCATAGCTGTCAGTCATGTAGCCAAACTCACAGTGTTCAGTGCAGGTGATGGGCTGACAGGTAGTCTTAACTGTCATGCAAGGGACAAGAAAACATTGCAATTGTAGTTGAGAAAAAGGATATTTTGTTTCAAAAATAAAAGACTATGTAACTCACTTTATCCTAACTTACTCACCTGGTTTGCGGCAGTGGCAGACTTCACAGCCCTCCTTGTTGGTGGCAAATCCATAAGGACAGAAACGACCACACTCCATCCTCTCACACTCAGAATCTGAAATAAGTACAAATAAAATCAACCTCTAAAAATCAAAAGGCCTGAGTTATTGAATTCTTTTAAAGAAATAAAACACAGTTGACTGATTGAATTGTGTAATATTTGCTGATCAACCTGTGAGTTTGTTTCTACTTATGAAAAAAATATCATTCACATAGAGATGTATGATGTCATGTAGCTTTACCAGGCTTCTTGCACTTGCAAATGTCACAGCCGTAGGAGTCTGTTGCAAAACCAAACTTGCAGTCCATGGTGCAGATGTTCTCCTTGCAGATATGCTCAACTGTGAAAAGAAATGTCCAATATTTTAAGAGAGACAAAAATCTTTGTATTTCAATATGCAAATACATGTGTGTGTAAATGAAATGAGACGTCCATGTATGATCTGCTTTCATAATTCTAAGTTGTTTCAAACTTGACTTACCTGGCAGCTTGCACTTGCAAATCTGACAGCCGGTGTTGTCGGTGGCAAATCCATAGTCACACTCAAATTCACAGCTTGGAACCTCGCATTCTGACTCTGAAAGTTATAAAAGTAGAAACAGTATTAATGGTATTATCAGCAGAACATAGTTTTAAGAGTTTAATCTGAGGGTAGAATCATACATGTTTAAAAAGGGCAAAGTGTTTCCTTAATGTTTTTCAGGCTTCTGATATCTGTGTTGAATGAAGACTCAGGGCTGACATGCCTTTAAAAATTTATCAATATTTTCATCTTAAAAGTTACAAAAGCAGTGTAAGGTCTTAGCGATGTTGACCTCCCTAAATGAAGTTTTTTTTATTCAAAAGTGGTTTTAGTTATTGCTGTAATAAGTTCCCTTACCAGACGTCTTGCACCTGCAGATCTCACATCCGTACATGTCGGTGGCCAGCCCAGCCTCACAGTCCAGGGAGCACATCAGTGGCTGACATGTGTGGGATGCTGCAAACAACAGGCCTTTCAGTCAGATTCTTTTATGAACCATTCGGCCATTGTGACTTTGTGGCTCATGTGGTAGCATTTGGGTCTATCACAGTTTTTTTAATTTTCTTTTATATTTCACCCCTCCAATTTATTATATTTCTGCCCAAATTCTGAGGACCTACAGGTAGAATTTGAAAAGAGGAGTCAACACTTCTGCAGACTACAAAAACTGTTTGTGTCACATGCAGGGGTGCATCTTATCAAACTTTTGAAGGTTTATTTGTTTATTTGTTTATTAGAATTCACCACAAGTACAAACATACAAGTGGAAGGAAGGACAAAACAGGTGTATTGACACCTTTACAAGTTGTCCTCCCAAACACAACAATATAAAATATAGTGTGCAATACAAATTACAAAGTCGAACAATTGTATATTTGCATATTAACATCAATTTTGTTACTAGGATGGGTTTAGATGTTGCAATTTTAATCCATCACCTTGTGATGCAAGATGTTTTTGCAGTCTGCAGTAGTGAAAACTCCTTTAAGTGTACAGAAAGTGCAAAAGTTTGTTCCATTTCATTCCTTTTTGCTCCCTTTTACACTTTTTGTACACCCAACTCTGTCATTGGCTTGTCCTGAAAATAAGATAATCCACCTACTTGGCAGCTGACACCTGCAGATCTCGCATCCCTCACTGTCGGTGGCAAAACCATGCTGGCACCCGATGCGGCAGGTCACAGGCTCACACAGGTTCTCTGGAGAAGTCATGGACAACAAACTGTTAGAGACTCTAAAAACTAAGGAACAGTATCCCTAGGAAGGACTATAACACAACCTACACTACCTCTTGTTGTAGCCGCAGTAAAAGAGATTGTAATTTATAAGATCGATCAAGTTGGTGTGTTACACTAAAGGGCAGTTATACTTGCTATACAGATACAGAATCTGATACAGATCCCAAAGTGTGGCAAAAAAATAAAATTTGATAAAAATTGTACAACTTAAATGAAATAACTATTAGGGCTTTAACACAAAAGATTGTGGATACAGCTAACATTAAAAGGTTTCACTAAAAAACCCACCTGGTTTCTTGCACTCACAGATCTGGCAACCGTTGGTATCAGTAGAGAAGCCGTAGATACACTGTTTGGCACAGGAGACGGCCTCACAGGAGACAGTCACTGGAGAGGTAAGAAAGAAATCAGAGACGGCAGACTTCACTCCCTCAGACTCTGGCAAGCAGCCTCTGGCAGAACATACATTGCAGAAACGCATGCGCGCGCGCGCACACACACACACACACACACACACAATGTTACATGTAGCTTCACATTTTCCCCTTACAGCTGGAGAACAACTCCCTAATACTGACCTGGCTTCTTGCACTGGCAAATGTCACAGCCATCCATGTCAGTGGCCAGGCCATACGGACACTGGATAGCACAGTCAAGTGGGGTGCACTCCTCAACTGGTCACAACACAACAAACATGTTGTTCATATCACTGATGATAATCGGAAACAGATCAAAATACAACAATATCATAATAAGATTCAAATCATTACAAACATTTAACATAAACTATAAACTTGGTAACATACTTGGTAAAATAGATAGCGCTTAACCCTCTCGTAGAATGTTTGACAAACTTACCTGGTGTCTTGCACTGACAGATTTCACAGCCAAACCTGTCTGTGGCCAGGCCGTGCTCACAGGTCAGGGGGCAGGTGAACGCTTCACAAGTCTTCAGAACTGTAAGAAATGATCAACATTTAGCCAAACGCAGCAATCTTATGCAATACACATTATATACATAGTCAATTGACAAATCCATCATGATGTACACAGTCTACCAAGTGAACTATTGTGAACTTACCAGGTGTCTTGCACCTGCAGATGTCACAGCCCTCAGTATCAGTAGAATAACCATAGGGACAGTACAGCTTGCAGGTGTCCAGCTTATCACATTCACTCACTGCAGTGGCAAAAAGGACAATCTGTCAGTCAAGTCACTGTCTGCACAACCAGTAACCAGTTCAAGTGAAAGTGATCTTGAACCAGTTAAGCTCATGCATGGAAGAGCTACTGGTTGTGACAGAGAAGACAGATGCTATGTATACACTATTTACAGCTTCACTGTACCAGGGAAATTCCCCTAACCCCTTTTCAGGTATTCCCCTACTGGTCATGACAGAGAAGAGAGTTGCTATGTATACACTATTTACAGCTTAATTGTACCAGAGGAACTTAATGTCCCATCCTAAGGACTGTGGTAAATGTTGGGTGAACAGCAATAGCTGGGATTCTCTTAGTTCAGAGGCAGGCCTAGGGTTGCTAACCACTGGACTAGACATGCTACACACCAAGTGTGTACAGCAAGCACAAAATAATGCAGACTGCTAGGTTTTATCCAAGCACACTGGAATGCATCCCTATATAGACAACATGTGAGTCTAAGGAGATTCTGACCTGGCTTCTTGCACAGACAGATGTCACATCCCTGAGAGTCGGTGGCATAGCCGTACTTGCAGCTCATGCGGCACTTCACAGGTTCACAGGTGTGTGTCACTACAGGACAGAGATGTGTTAGTAATGGTTTAGTCACTGACTAACCACATTCTACATATGAAAATTAAGAACTCTCAGAGATTCAAGCAACCAGCATGGAAGCTTAGAAGTCATGCTCAAGCGCCCTTTTCTTGTATATACATGTATAACGTTGCACACACACACACACACACACACATATATTCCCACTGGCTTTCTTGGCTATAGGGTTAGGTCCCATTCCATTTCTTTGTATTTTGTGCTAATTGTGATATAGTTGGTACTTGATTTTTACTTCATATTTCCTTCCATTTCACTCCATTTCCTTCCATTTTGCACTTTGTATACACCGACTGTGATGTTATGATCAGGTGCCCTATAGATCCTACATTCGGTGTAGGTTTTTTCAGTACATGTATTACTGACCTGTGGTGTCTGCCACAGGGCTGAAGCAGACCTGACCACAGCCAGTGGAACAGCACTTGTTCTCCCCATCACAGTCCATGTCATCAGAACACTCACTGATGCACATCAGAGGAGTCCAGTACTTCTGCATCAGGTTGGGACATCTGCCAGACTTAGAGCCTAAAGAAATATGAAAGAAACATTAATTGAAAATCTTCTTCTTGTAGACTGTCAATAATACCATGAGAATCTGACATTATCAGTACGTGAATTCAAACTTATTGTAGTAATATTGTTCTAAAATTGTAGGCAAAATACAAATATCGCACTCTTGCATATAAGCAAGAAGGTTTCAGTCAGATTAGCCTAGCAGCAACACAAATTTAAGAACCAGTCACTGAGTCACTGTTGCCCTGAAGAAGGTGGCAGATGGTCATTGAACTGTCAGATGAGAAAACCACAGGTGTTGAATTAAGAACCATCTTATACAAAGAGTGTAGATTGCCCAAACCTGTGAGCTGCCTGGTGAAGGTCTGGTGGACAGACACGTCCATGACAGCAGGGACGCAGGTCTTGATGCAGCCGTCTCCGCAGCACTTGTGGCTGTCCACACAGTCCATGTCTGTGGAGCACTCCAGGTTACACACAGTAGAGGAGCTGGTGTACGGGGCCATGGCGGGGCAAACACCTACATGGACAAAAAATAAAGTTGGCCTCAAAATACAGTGGGGAGCATGTTAGCAGCATGTACTGCACCTGTGAAACTATGGTTTCCTTTAGATGTTTGGTTCGTTACATCAGAATTTTGTCCAATACATACCTTTTTGAAACATTTGAAAACTACAGATGGGATATCATCCTTCCATGCAAAAACGGCCAACAATACATTCTGTAGAAGTGCTATGCACGTTTTTGAAGTGTTAACCAGCATGGTGTTTGATTTTGGGGTAAGCCACCAGTCTTGAAACAATCAATAGTAATACATGTAAGTTGTTACATAGTATTACATACATGTAGATCTGTCTATTATTAATATTTACCAGGCTTCTCCAGGATCCAGGGGCGCATGCAGGTGAAGGCGTATCCGTTGTGGCAGCACTTTGTGGTTCCAGCACAGTCAGAGTCAGTCACACAGCTGTCCATCATGGACATCTCCTCAGTCAGGGTGGGAGTAACAACAGGGCACTGCCCAACCTTACCTACATGTACACACAACATGCGCATTAAATATTGTGCAAGAATGAGACCTTAAAAAACTGAGACTTCAATTTCCGTGAATAATTTCATCAGGTCGGCCTTAGTCTATAAATTATGTTCTTTATTCAACAACCTGCAACCAACATTTTGGTGACTGTCAACTTCTGGGCAATAATAATTGATTCTAATTTGTACTGTAACTACGTGTTGCTGCAATCTAATACAGTGCCAAATGAAGGCACGTTGCTGCAGCAACACCTACATGTACAAATGTACAACACCTACAGCAACACCTACAGCTGCAGTACAAATGAAAACTAGTCATTGTTGACCTGCATATGGTAAAAGATGGTCATCGAAATGTTGGATGTGAAAACCAACAGTGCTGATTGCTGAACAAAGAACCTTTTTATCTGAGACTAATTTTCTTGGTTATTAATTGAGTAATCAATGAATTGTACTGAGACTGCAATTAATTTCTTATTCATTTAATATTCATTCATTTGTTCAATCATTCAAGCATTCAATGCTTAATATTCATCAATTCTGCATCTTTACCTTGGTTACAGACCACATTGGGGCAGCACTGTCCCTGTACATGCACAGCCCTGCAGCCGGGCTCCACAGTCATGGGGCAGCTCTGGGTGTGGCAGCGGACTCTACCATTCATGCAGGTGCAGGTGGTGCAGGGATCCCTCTGCCAGGACTCCCCATGGACAAACTGGGTCTCCTCCAGGTTGATGGTATCAACACAAGTGGGGCCTTGATAACAAACACAATGAAAAAAACATAAAATTTATATTAGGGTTAGACATCCAGGTACATGTAATAAGATACCAAAGTAACAGTCACTGACAAAAGTACTTCTACCTGAAGCATCTGACCATTTTAAAAATCTATCCAGTTGCTTGAGTAAGTGTTTCTTTAGGTACCAAGATTGCATTTTGCCAGACATGCATGGAGAGAAGGGAAGATATTACAAGTGATGTCTTCCAAATCTATGGCTTCCAAAGCATGGCCATGCAAGAGAAGAAAGACCATGAACAACCTACATCAACAGTATGTGAGGTTGCATGCTGCAGAAAGAAGATCTACCTAGTGCTATGGAGGACAGAGAGAGATGGAGGAAGCGAGTTATGATCATCCATGAAACCATCCTGACCTGATGATGATGACTTACCGGTCTGTGTGGGGCAGACGATGTTGGGGCAGCACTGTCCGGGCACGTGCTCGCCGAACTTGCAGCCGGTGGGGGCGGGGGCGCAGGAGGTGCTGCTGCAGATGGTCCTGCCGTGCTCACAGCGGCAGCTGGTGCAGCCGTCCTGCTGCCACTGCTCGCCGTTCAGGAACTTCACGCCACCTTCCAGGCAGCTGTGAACTGCAGGAGGTATTGTCATGTATCAAAATGTGTCTTAAAGATCAAATAATCAAAAATGTCTTAAAGAAGTTCTAAGGATATCGTGATCAACTTGTTGCTAAATGTTAGATGACGTTCCCAAGAATTAGAAACAGAGCTTATATCTCTGTACATGACTTACCATCCCTGCAGACAATGTCAGGACAACACTGTCCAGGCACACGGACGGCACGGCAGCCAGGGGCGAAGGACATCTTGGGGCAGCCAGTAGTCTGGCAGGTCACCTGTTATGAGAAGACAAAATTACAGAAAAAAATACATGCAGAAGGCAAAGGTAAAGTTATGCAGCCTACTGAGGTGAAGCAAAAGGGTTCTCTTTGGCTGATGTGTTAGCCATACCACACTGGGGCAGACCAACAACTCTTATCAACAAGGGTGATGGGGTCTTAAACCTCCCTGCTGTCTAACCCTGCAACTAATATAGAGAAGGTGTCAAACAGCTACCTTAGCAGGCTGAAGGTTAAGGTGCTTGAGACCTGTGCAAACATGGGATGTCTGACTTTACATCCCCTCCTACTTCAGAAGGAAATGAGTCAAAAAGTAACTTATACAAAAAACTCATGTCTTCTATCACTGGCCATACTTGTCATCTCTTTTGTGAACTCAAAGTTATTGTCGGAGAAAAACAAAAGCTGACCTGCTTGTTGTCGCAGGAACACATGGTGCAGGCGTCAGACATCCACTGTTCTCCGTTCTTGTAGTGGATTCCCCTGTACAGGCAGGTGGGGGCTGAGAACACAGAGATACAATAGGTTCAGGTAACAAAAAAAAAACTCATCTTATGGTTAGTACTTAATTTAACCATTAGGGCACAACAGACAATCTGACAACCATATTTCATTCCATTTCAGTCCTTTTCACTCTATTCCATTCCATTTTGCACTTTCTGTACACCCCACTCACCAGACTGCAGAGGACAGGTGATGTTGGGGCAGCACTGTGTCTCAGTCGTCTCCGTGGTGATGGGCTGACATCCCTCTGGGATAGCTGGGCAAGTCTGGACCTGGCAGTAGGTCTGTCCCTATAGCAACAGAAGGATAACTACATGTAGCTTCATAAACAATTTGTGGTTTGGCAAAGAATACATTAAGTGTACCTGAATGGCTGTCAATAATTAAGTGTCTGGAAAAATATAGTACATGTACATCTTTGACATTTAAGCCGAGTTGGAAATATCTATCATATAGATACTGATTGAATCTTGAAAGTGCACAACACATACACGGGTGATTTTTTTCATTCTTCATTTGGTTGTATATGAATGAATTTGTAGCTAACCTTCCTGCAGTGGCAGGTAGTGCAGGCATCAGTGTGGAAACTCTCTCCATCCAGATACATAACTTCCTCCACCATACAGCTGCCAGCTGGAGGGAACAAAATATACCGTCATGTGAATCAATGTGCAATCAATGTCTTCAACCTAGTACTAATAGTACCAAATCAAGAATACTTTTCATTTAAAGTTAGTAGTTTTAAAGTAGTAAAGTTTTGTTTTCCATATACAACAGCAACAATGTATTACAGATGAAGATTTTGGAGGAATTAAAACAAGCAACACTTCAGCTCTATTGTTTGAAGGGTGGCTGTTCAAGATTCCCACCTTCCTGGCAGAATGTCTCAGGGCAGCACTGTCCGGGGATGTACACACTACGGCAGCCGGTCCTCTGCATGGCAGGACACTCCATACGGTTACATTCGCTGCGCCCAAACATGCAGGTACACGTGGTGCAGTTGTCGGACATCCAGGAGCTGCCGTGGTAGTAGGTCACACCCTCCACCATACAGGTGGCCTCTGTAAACAAATTCAACACCATAATCAGTTTAACTGTACCATGGTTAATTTGAAATAATATGTTGGACTGCAAATCAAACCAGTTTCCAGTACCAGGTAATGCTAGATTTCCAACAAAATGATAATCTTACTGTTCTCCTGCTCCTCACAGATGATGGTTGGGCAGCACTGGCCCTCAACGTGACGGGTGGTGCAGCCATTGGGGGCACGGGGGCACTCCTAGAGGTGAAAGGTCAAGATCAAGGTGTCAGCTAACTTACGAAACTTTGAAGGTCAAAATCTGTTCTGTATACCTGTTGACCTACTACTATTGAAATATATCCTGTATAATTTTTAGTATCTTTATTCCCAGTGATCTTATAATATATGCATGCAGTCCACACATAGTTCTTATTTGCATAAATGGGAATCTTAGTCATGCTCCCGTAACCAGTAAGGGACCAGTACCTGCTGGGTGCAGACAGACTGGTTGTTGACACAAGAGCACATGGTGCAGGCATCCTGCTGCCACACATCTCCACTGCTGCGCTGTCTGCCCCTGCTGTCCACACAACCTACAGGACACAGCTCAAGGTTATTCTGTAACATTGCTACGTGTATATTGCTGTCACACATCTCCACAAACAGCTATCAATGATGGTGTCTACCCCTGTTGTCTACAGAATCTACAGCTCAATCTGTAACACAAGTATGTTCTACAACACACACTATTGCTACCACACATCTCCACATGTCATACTGTGATATAATGTCTGCCCTCCCTGCCCATACAACCAGCATGAAACACAGAACAGAATCCTTGAAACATCCAGTTGTGCAATTAATGTCTTTGTTACCAGCAGTATTCTTTCACAATTCAATATTCATATGTTTTCGTAGGCATAGGCAACACCTTAGTCTTTAAAAGCCTTGTCATCACATGAAGTGTCTTACTATCAATCCAGGGTGTTGCACACATGAAACTGCAGCCGTTGTAGCAACACTTGGATGAACCCGAGCAGTCAGTATCCTCCTCACACTCATCAACACAGTCGTCAGACTCGTACAGGAAGTCAAACAGCGGGATGGGACAGCTCCCCAGCTTTTCTGTTAACCAACACAACATTGCCTAGTTAGTAAGGCTGGTTTCTGGTTGATAGACCTGGTTACTGGTTAATAAGGCTGGTTACAGGTTAGTAAGACTGGTAATTACTATTACTATATAAGGCTGGTTAATAGGATGTAGGGCTGGTTAACAGTTACAAAACCTGGCTACTGGTTAGTAATAATAGTGAGTAAGCCTGGCTACTGGTTAGTAAGGCTGTGAATGTCATATTAATCAGATAGGTTTGCACAGATTTAATGTAAACTTTTGACATGAAAACTTTGAAAGTCAGGTAGCCAAGAAGGTGGTTTAGCTTATTGCTTTTCATGTGTCAGTCCAGGGATGACCGATTAGTGTGTTATCCAATGTCCTTTTTATTGTAGATAACTACAGGTATTCTAAACTGATCCATACCCTTCAGACAGGTGACCGTGGGACAGCACTGTCCCTCCACCTCCTCCACAATACAGCCCTCCCTGGGGACAGTACAGGTCTGCTTCATGCAGGAGATCACACCCTTCACACAGGCACATGTAGTACAGCTGTCCTCCTGCCAGGTGGCGCCGTGCTGGTAGGTCAGCTCAGTCTCCTCAACAGTGCAGCTGTCATCTGTGGGGGGAGAAACTCTTGTATTAAACAAGTAAATGAAAATATAGGTGAAGAAACTGATCACATTGCGAATTACATGCATAGTTTAACATTGTACCATGCGAGTCCATGCTTACAAATAAGAAATAATTACATGTAAGTATATTCAAACATGAAAAAACATCTTTTAAAAGTTTGTATCAAACTGCTTTCCTCTGATGACCATAGCAGCAAACTTTTCAGCACCATGGAAACATCACACTCTTGGGTGACTCCCCAAAAATATAAATTCCTTAGAAAATAATGGAATAAAATGAACTATTCAGAACATTTGCAACAGAGATTTTTATAATGGCTCCACTCTTGAGGTGTTGCCAATAAAAACTTTTATTTACCAATCTGGGGCCTGCAGATCTGCATGGGGCAGCAGCGGCCAGGCACCTGCAGCAGGTGGCAGCCAGGTGCAGCGACAGTCACGGGGCAGTCCATGGTGGAGCAGGACGTCACGCCGTTCCTGCAGGTGCACACCTGGCAGTCGGACAGGTGCCAGCTGTCACCTTCATGGTGCATCACTTCAGTGTCCTTGCACACGGGAGCTATTGGTATGGAAAATACAGGGGGATGAACAACAGAAAACACAATGTGATAACTATTGATAATCTACTGTTATCACAAAATAAATCCTTGGTGATTGTCCCATTGTTACAAGTCTTACAGCAAACAATAATGTAACAGTTGCTTATAATAGAACAGAAACAGATGCAAAATGTATGAATAACTGTTACAGTAGAATTATGAAAGAATACCATTAATAGCTACCTGCACAAATACTGGATGAAGACAGCACAGAATTCTGGATGAATCTTCATTCAAAAATTTCTTACAGTTTTCTATTACAATCCTACAGTAGTATTGTTAGACAATACTCAGTGGCAATGGAGACATTGCCAAGCATTACTGAGGCTGATGTACCTATTACCTATAAGCCTATAAGTTACTGTATGTATGAAGGAGACTTACAATGATGATGGGGCTGGCACACTATGTCAGGACAGCACTTCCCGTTGACGGGTACAGCCTGGCAGCCGGGAGGGGTGAGTGGGCAGGTGGTCTGGATGCAGCGGGTGGTTCCGTTGACGCACTGGCAGGTGCTGCAGCTTTCCGGCTGCCACATCTCACCATCGAAGAACCTCTGGCCTTCAAAGGTGCAGACCTCAGCTGTATAGGTGAAAAGATAAAAATTTAAAAATGAATCAGATGCAAAATGTGTGTATCTGGAAAGACCAATCTAATTTCTTGACAATTTTTGGAAAGGTCCATTCTTGCATGGGGGAGGGATGATTGCTCACAAATGTTGCCTGCCTACTTTTAACATTCTCTCTGGTGCCTACCATTTAACCACTACAAAAACACAAATTTGGTGCTAAACGGCTATTAACCGATGGCTTGCAGGCTGTTTTTTTTTACAAAATATAACAAAGAATCTGATGAAGATTACATGATTGAAGTCCTAATAACTCCACAAACGTTATGTTGTCTGACCTTTGTTGCAGATGGTCTCTGGGCAGCACTGTCCCTTCACGTAGACCTTGATGCAGTCAGAGAACAGGGGGTTGGAGAAGGCAGGGCAGTCAATGTTGGCACAGAATTCCTGTCCGTCCCGACATTCACACATGGTGCAGTCATTGGGCCTCCAGGAACTCCTGTGTCCGACTTCCTTATCCTTCAGAGAGCAGCTCATCTTGCGGCCTGCATACATAAGAGTCAAGATGTCATTGACTAGACTACAACTTACTAGACTGTAACTTCCACAGGAAAAAAATAGGAATTACTTCTTGAACAGTAAAGAGATTTGAACAATAGAAAAGCTTTTGACAGCACTTATTAGCATTTGAAAATCCATCTCTCTGTCAATACAGTGTATAGGGAAGCAAAAAAAGACAGCAGAGACAAGAGTATGCTACCTTCCGTTGGGCAGTAGACATTGGGACAGCACTGTCCATCAACCTTCTCCAGGGTACATCCAGGATGGAGTTCATCTGGCACGGTGCAGCTGGACCTCTCATCGGTGCACACTGTCTTCCCATTCACACAGGAGCACATGGTGCAGGCATCCACGTACCACATGTCGTTCTCATAGCGCAGGTGGCCATAGTGGTCAATACAGCCTGGTGGAAAGAGAATGGCCCATTTTTAACCTTCTCCCTGCTGCCTAACTCCGTAACCAATACAACTTTGGTTCCAAATGGCTCTCTTAGCAGATTGAAGGTTAATAGACACAAGCAGTTTTTTCAAAAGGTTCCCTGGTAAAATTGTACCAAGAACATTACTCTCATTTCTCAATTTATGCTTTGTTGTTCCAGCAATGAACTTTGCAGATCGAAGATTACATTCCTACTGAAAAACGAGCGCCCAAGAGGTATTTCTAGTTATCTACTGCCTTTCCTGCACCTAAAGTACCTTCCATACCATAATTATGATTCCATTTCTTTCTTCTGGGACAAGAAGGTTTTACAAATCTCTACAGCTTGAAAGCCCAAACAAACAAACAAATAAACAAACAGTTGGTCCAATAATGGCAGACTTACGGTCCTGGCAGACGACCTCGGGACAGCACCTGCTGGGGACGTGCTTGACGGTGCAGCCGGTGGTGTTCCTCAGCACATCACTGGTGCAGGTGTACTGGGAGCAGGTGATCTGCCCGTGGATGCATTCGCAGTAGCTGCAGCTGTCCAGGGACCAGCGCTCGCCGTGCATGTGCCTCACCATACGCTCGTCTTCACACCAATCAGCTGAAAAGACGGAATGACAAGGTTTAGACTCAACACTAGGACCCCAGGAACAACTAGCGGCACTAGAGGGAGAATCAGAAGAAAGTGACCAGGGCACACATGCTCATTTTGCTTTTCCAAACAATGGACAGCAGCTTGATCTAAGATTTCTCTAAGCTATATAATAATAACGTTAATAACTTGCCTGTTCCTGGATGTACATATGTGTGTAATAGAGGCTGGTCATTCCTTGATGCAATCAGTGGTTATACTTACAGGAAATGACCAGGACTAATTCTTCATTTCTCAACTTTGGAAAACTATGGCCAGGGAAACCAATTTTTCAAAATCTTCTTTTCTTTTGTTATCCTCAACGGAGGTGAATCATGATGTATGACCAACTCTATAAATAACCTAATCAACCAACTGGCGCTGTTCTGACTCCTGTACCTTCAGCACTGGTCTCACACTGGATGGAGGGACAACACTGGCCGTCCACATGGATGGGAGAGCAGCCAGCAGGGATGGCATCACAGTGCAGAGGGGTGCAGCGAGTCACTCCGGTCACACACTTGCAGACGGTGCAGACGTCGGGACTCCACATGTCACCATGGTGATGAGTCAGGCCTTGGAAGGTGCAGGTGTCCACTGAGAAATGAACACACAGTCATGTATTTCACAAAGTGACTACAGTTGGCATTTTCTGCGTAATACGAATACAGGGTGCATATTAACTATGTACAAGTATGTTTATGACAAGGCTTGAACCCTTGCATCCACGGAATTCAGTCAAGCAGCCTACCACTTGTACCACAGAGATACAGCTACAAAATGTAATTCTGGAGAAATAACAACTTATCTAATTCATCATTTATCTATCTTATTTATCTATTTATTTGACTTAACAGAAATCTGTAAGGAGCCAGCAACAAGATCTTGATGATCTTGCTCCTCTATGATTTGGAAATATACACATGTACAAGGTAACAAAACAACACTTACAGGACTCAGTGACGGGCTTCCTGCACATGGTTCCTCCACAGGGAGTGTTGCAGCACTTCTGCTCGGAGGAACAGTCAGTGTCGATGGAGCACTCTGAGGTGGTGCTGCAGACCTCCATATCCTCCTGGGTCCACATCGGGCACTGGCCATCACGAACTGCGGAGAAGGAAGGAATGATAGATTGATTGATTGATTGATTGATTGATTGATTGATTGATTGATTGATTGAATATAAGAGGCAGACTTCACCACTATCATACCCATACTGTTTTGACACCCTACAAGTCCCACAGTCAAAAATTCACTGAAGATGAATGGCCATGCTGCATAATGTGCACACATTCAACCACCAACCTAGCCACGGATGAAAAAACACAATTACAATATGTATGTAGGCCAACATGTAACACATTGTACTAAATTATAATTAATATTCATTCTCTTGTAGCTAGACTGTAACAATGATATTGATGGCAACCAGCAAAACAGCAGTGGGATCAGCACCATGGACAAAAATGTGGCAAGTGCAAAAAAAATGATGTAAATTTCTCACAGTTCAACTAGAAAGCAATGACACAAAATTAAATAAGAATCTACTAGCTACAATGTTATTATGTAGTTATGATTAGTCTTCTGATCATTTTTATTCTTCATCTTTTGTATTCTTTTTCCTGGCAGTACAAAAAAATGAGCATCCTGAAGGCTGTATGTGGCTATGGTAAATATGTGTATGTGGCTTACCAAACATCCAGGGGTTGACACAGACACGTGTGCAGCCATCCATGCAGCACTTGGTGAAGCCGGGGCAGTCACCGTCATCGCTGCACTGGTGGTTACACATCCCACCATCACACTCCAGGCTGCAGCCTATCTTGTCAAAGGCAGCGGAGGTCATGGGGCACTGGCCGTACTTCTCTGCAGTGAATACAGACAATGTACTGATTATTGGGCACTGTATAATTCAATTACAAAGAAGCGAGAGGAGGTCAAATGTACTAATTTCAAAGTGCCATGTTAGTCACAAACTGACAAAAAATGGATCAAAAATATTTGTTTAACACATTAGAATATGATACAATGTACTTGTAAATCAGTTACCAGGGCAGTTTTTTGACACCAGATGATTGTAAAATTCAGTCATAAAAAGGGAGCCTGATATTCATATAAAGTTTTGTAACAATCTCTATCATAATCAAAACTTGAATGACGAACCCATGGTCCATGGAGGGGTGCAGGTGAAACCGCAGCCGTTGCTGCAGCAGATGCTTCCATCAGCACAGTCCTCATCCTGCAGACACTCATTCAGGTGGTCACACTCCAGGTTGTCTGGGTGTGGGCACTGTCCGCTGGTCATTTCTGAAAAAAGGGAAGAGCAGCTCAAGTATTCTTCTTCCAGTTGCTTTCTAATGCTGCACCCAAGGTTTTGCATAATATGAACTGGGGAAAACCAGAAATTAGCATGAAAATTCATCAACTTTGTCCATGTCCAGCATTGTATAAACAGTAAATTTTGGTTTCATGTACATTATGAATAATACAAAACCAAAATTAGACGTATCTGAATTGTCTAGTCGAACCTGTATTTTAGTGGTCACCTTAAATTTTGCATTACAAATCATCTGTACATCATGGTCCTACAGTTGGTCCCTTGGATCATGATCAATACAGCACCTTCCCTCTATAAAGAGGTCCACAGTGGTCAAATTTGCTTAGTAACTTGAATGACCACTATACATAGTTTGATCGTATTTCAAAAGGAGAACAAAAGAAAGCCTACCCCTGGTGATGGTGGCAGTGAAAATGGCGTTGACAGCGATGCTCTCGATGTCGGATGTGATGGTCCTGGTCTCAGTTGGGTAGATACAGCGCAGGCCACAGCCGCTGTCACAGCAGCGCTGGCTGCCGATACAGTCGCTGTCCTCGTCACACTGGTTCTTCATCTCCTCGGAGCAGGTCTTGTCCCACTGGACAGGGCACTCACCCTCATGGACTGTTCAATGTGGACACAAGAGTTTACAGTTATGGGGGTCTGCATGTGGTGGATCCTGGCAATGCTTAACACTACATCCAGGAGGCCGACAACGCTTATTTATTAGACAGAGTACAAAATTTAATGTAACACGAACCAAAATGACCCAAACTTGTAGTTTAGTGACTACCTCTGTATGAGAGTCACTCGCCCTCATGGACTGTTCAATGTGGACACAAGAGTTAACAGTTATGGGGGTCTGCATGGGGGATCCTGGCAATGCTTAATGCTACATCTAAGAATGGCCAACAATGCTTATTTATTAGACAAAATCTAATAGAGTACAAAATCTAATGTAACACAAACCAAAATGACCCAAACTTGTAGTTTAGTGCCTCTCATACTTCTCATGCACTCACCCTCGTGGACTGTTCAATAAGGACACAAGAGTTAACTGTTATGGGGGATCCTGGCAATACTACATCCAGGAAGGCCGACATGGTTTAAGTACAAAATTTAATGTAACACAAACGCAAATGACCCCCTTGTAGTAAGTGTAGTGACTACCTTGGTATAAGAACCATTTTTTTGTGTTCCCTTTGATTATCCCCCATTGATCCAAGTACTACGTAGTATCAGTAACCTGGCCTGCTCATACTGTGGCTATTTTCTTCAAGTTAGGTTTGACTATAAACAACTCTTAAACCAGTTTTGCAATTGGAATGTCCCAAGTTAACTCAACTCAAATATGACAGAAATTTAATCTTTGCATGCATCATCGGTTCATGGTGTATTTGTGTTAAGTGTCATGAACAGTCCAAAAGCCAGTTTGTCCCATTCCCATATCACTTACCAACAGGCTCAGGGTGGACACAGGTCTTGCCGCAGCCGTTGAAGCAGCACTTGGACACCCCGGAGCAGTCAGAGTCGCTGTAACAGGTGGTAGAACAGGACCCGATGTTGCCAAAGGTGATGGCAGGGCAAGTTCCGGGACGTTCTATTCAAGCAGAACCAAATGTTAGCTTAGGGAGGCATTTACATGTATATCTGCACAGTTCTGACATTTATAACACCAACCAATTTAACAATGTTGAACAGAAAATCACGACTCTACCCCTTAGTGTTGCATGTTGCAATAGTGATGAACAAAAGGATGTCAAACAGTCCCTATATCATTATTAGTAATATTACTGCTGAGAAGCATGCTGTTACATGTGCATCTTTGTACCTTTATAAGAAAGCCAACCATAATTTGGATGACTAGTACTTCAGTTTTCATTTTGTGTTTATTACTCTAGCATGAAAGTGGGATTCAACCCTGAAATTTCCTTGCTTACGCTCAGTGATGGGGCTGACACACACGGATGCACAGCCGTTTGAGCAGCACTTGTGTGTCCCGGGGCACTCTCCGTCATGGGCACACTCATTCTCACAAGTCTGGGGCATGTCCTCCATCAAGGGGCACATGTGGTCCTTCACTGTAAACACACAGAACCACACACACTTTTAAACAACAGTAAAGGTGAAAATCCTTTTTACATGGCATATCACAAACATTTTGGGCATATCTCTGGCTATACATCCCATCCAGAGGATGTCCCTAAGCAATTTGAGTGAGGAAGTAGGTGTAAAGTACCTTTCCCACAGGTATACAGCGATGGGGACAGCCGGGGATTTGAACCCAGAACCTTCAATTCAGTCCTGAGTCAACAACCCTGACCGCAAGGCCACCTCCATGAGAAATGGATGTTTTGTTTTTGGTTCTTACCGATATCACACTGGACCTTCCTCCCAACTTCGATGTAGAACTCAGCCTTGCAGCCACCACAGATGGATGGGAAGCACCTAGCCTCAGGGTAGGCAGGGCAGCTGACATCGTCACATGGGTTCTTGGGGCAGTGGAAGGCTCTCTGGTTGTCTGGGCACTGGTCTGGGTAAACACAAACAACATTCTATTTACAAACTAATGTCTGTAAATATTTTGGGGCAAGGGGTCCCTTAATAGCACATCAATGTTGTTGACTGAGTTTGGGTTACCAAGTTTTTCTATAAACAAAGAATAATATTTGGGTTTGATGTTACAGTCATTTCTTCAAGCCCAACACCAGGCCATAACAACCACCTGGTCCGGACATTATTTTTTCCATAGTATTAAGCAACCTGCTCAAGAAGGCACCTGTCCAACAACACAACTTAAACTCGGTCCCCTGGGTGGTCTTGTTGGGCAGGTTTGACCAATATACTCACCACAGACAACATCCTTGAGATGACCCCTGGTGTTGGGAACCTCATGGCCACACTTGTCCACACACCAGCACATGGATCCCTGGCACTGCTTTGTCTCAAAGAACCCATCATCCATGCAGCGAGGCTTGAAGGCTCCGAGCAGAGGCCGCAGGCCAGGGCGCTGAAGGTTGGACCTCGCCTCATGGCAGGGGGCATTCTTAGGTCCTGGTTATGTGAACAAAATATGTCATACAATGGATTGAGACTGGAAAGACATTGTGCTTAAAAACAAGAACAGAGATGAACGAATCATCAGGCAACAGAATGAGATATCTTCATCATCATCAGAGATATCTTAAATCCTCTTTATAAACTCCAATTAGTCTGTCAGATCATTATTTATGATCCACACAGACAATGACATTGACTTCTCTAACTATTGAGCAACATCAAAATAATAGACAACATTCACACAGCTCGCAATCAGACTTACTGCATTCGAGATCTTCGTAGGTGTGTGTTCCATCGATGGGGCGACCACAGGCATCGACACACCAGCACAGGCCACTGGTGGGGTGGCACTGCTTGGGTGTATGGAAGCCAGAGGAGTTACAGGTGGGGTACCAGTGACCGAGCACAGGCAGGGTCACACCTCCGAAGGTGGTCGTTGGGATGGTGGTCTTCTCCTCTTCACAAGGTGGCAGCACTGTGGAGGGCAGATGGAACAATTCAACAAAATGTAACATTGTCAATTTTGCCAGGTAATATATGATACCCACACATGCTGACCCACGTGTTCTGACCCAGGTATTTACACAATGGCATGTGTTCTAACCCACACAAGCTCACCCACGTGTTCTGACCCATGTGTTCTGACCCACATGTGCTGAACCACATGTTCTGACCCACGTGTTCTGATCCAAGCTTTCTAACCCACACATGCTGACCCACGTGTTCTGACCCATATGTTATCACAATGGCCCATGTTTTAACCCACACATGCTGACCCACGTGTTCTGAACCATGTGTTCTGACACATATGTTCTGACCAACACATACTCACCCACGTGTTCTGACCCAAGCTTTCTAACCTACAAATGCTGACCCACGTGTTCTGACCCATGTGTTCAACTTCTGACCCACATGTTCTGACCTACACATTCTGACCCACGTGTTCTGACCCAAGCTTTCTAACCTACAATTGCTGACCCACGTGTTCTGACCCATGTGTTCAACTTCTGACCCACATGTTCTGACCTACACATGTTCTGACCTACAATGTACACATTCTGGCCCACGTGTTCTGACCTGTGGTGGTGATGCTGGTGCATCTCTTGCCACACTTGGTGCTGCAGCACCTGCCGTCATCGCTGCAGTCGTTGTCAGACTCACACATCAGGGACACGTCGTTGCAGATTTCCTCAGAGATCTGCCACATCGCAGGGCACTGGCTTGGCTTGTCTGAAAAGACAAGTAAACAACATATATTCACATTTATGTTTGTTATGTGTCTGTTAAGTCTTGACCTGTACCTAGCCCGTCGTGGCATGAATGCACAATAAAGGTCTTTCACCATCTTCATCATATCTGGCACTTCCAAAAATCTTGATCAGTAGTGCAGCAGCCCTAAGGTATGCACTGTGAGTGAAGATTTGCAGGAGTGCACTTTACTGTTGGATGTTGCATTGGAGATCTGTTTATTACACATTAGATAGATGCATTTTACAGTGTGGTGGATATATGTGATCTGGTATGCTAGTAGATGTTACAAACTGAAGAAACTTCTGCCGTACAGTAAACCTACCGTGAACAGCAGGAGACACACAGACTTGTCCACAGCCGTTGGAGCAGCACTTCTCAGCCTCGGCACAGTCATAGTCAGAGTTACAGCGGACCTCACAGCTCATGTCTTCAAAGCTGCTCTTCACGGGGCAGAATCCAAACTTCTCTGGAAGGACAATATAGACTGTGTTACAGCACCAGACAGCGATTCTCTTTGCAGCTACGTACATGTAGACAAACAGCCAATCTAACTGCATATATTTCAAATTTTGTATTGTTTCCTTATAGAAAACAACTAGTGCTACAGTAAGTAAATGTTGAATCTCATAATTCCACCTGGAATTCCAACAGTGAATTTACATAGATCTACGAATCTACTAGCACTAGTAACCCAGGAGGCATGCACACTTCAGATGTACATGTGGTCGAGACACTCTTGCATCAGAAGGCCTTATATACTAGTACATCACTATTTTGTGTTTTTATGTCGAACCATAAGAGTTGCAGTTAAATGAACCAAGGTCCTTAGATGAACACAGAACCTGATAGAGATGTGCTGTACTTATGGAGATAAATACAGAACCTGATAGAGGTGTATTAAAAACAGTAGTGGGGGTTATAATTCAGAACCAACCGATTTTGGGAGCCAGACACTGAGTTGCACATCCACTGAAGCAGCACTTGTGGGCACCGGGGCAGTCAGAGTCAGAGCTGCACTCAGGCTCGCAGTGCTCAGAGGTCTCCACATCAAACACAGCAGGGCAGATCCCAAGTTTCTCTGGAAAACCAAGGATGTGGCAACTAGTAAGAACAGCCCAAAATTAATTACCAGACTTGAGCTTGGTCTTAAAATGTACACTAGAATGTAGGGAAATCACAATATTGTGACGGTTTGATTGTTATTTGCCAGTTGTATAAATAATATGAACTAAAAATTTACAAAAATCTGTATCAGACTCAGAGGGTTCTTTATTCAACAACCAGGGGGTTTTATAGACCCAACGTTTCAATTGTGACCGTCTGCAGTACAAATCAGAAGAGTCATTGTTGCCCTGAGGAAAGTGACAGAATGTGGGATGTACAATGTAAAAACACCAGTGTTGTTTTACCTGCGCATGCCAGATAAAATTATTCATAGAAAACTCTGTAACCTACCATCAGAGCATGTGATCTTCTTGCCCTTGTTGTTGAAGAACTCGGGACGGCAGCCCTCACACTTGTTGGGCTTGCAGAGAGCGTCGGGGAAGCCTGGACAGGTCAGGTGTTTGCAGATGTCCTCCCTGGAGCAGCGCTGAGGGCTGACACCATCGGGGCACACGTTGGGCTTAGACTGGCGACTGTGGGTCCTCTCCCTCTTGAAGAACTGGCCTGAAATATTAGACAAAATGATCAGAAGTGATAAAACTTTCTTCTATATCTATATAGGGCATTGATCTTGTGTGGGTCTGCCTCCATTTATGATGGAGAATGATTTTAAGAGTATATTATACATGATTGTAGCTTGAGTTTCCCTGGGTTCAACTTGGTTTCTCAAGGCACACTCTTGCTACAGCATCAATACAGCTACAGCATGGATTACACAATTACTTACATATACAGCGTGGGTTTCCCTGGATAGTCTGGGTACACATACTGCACTACTAGTACTTACTACAGCATACCTAGGTAATTACACTGAATACACATGCTGCACGACATGTACTCATTATAGCATGGGCTTTTCAGAGTATAGCTACTTACACAAAATGTACTACAGCATGGGTTAAACTGAATACACATGGGTTACACTAAATACACATGGGTTACACTGAATACACATGGGTTACACTGAATACACATGGGTTACTCTGAATACACATGCCATACTACTTACTATAGTGTGTGTTACACTCAATACACATGTTGTACTACTTACTGCAGTGTGGGTTTCCCTGGGTGCGAGACCCGGTGATTTCCTGGCCACACTTGGTGACACACCAGCACTCGTCCCCATCACACTGCTGGGCCATGAAGAACCCGTGCTTGTCACAGGATGGGGTGTGTCCACTGGACCTCTCCAAGTCCCTGCAGGGGAGCTGGTAGGTCTCTGAAGGAAGGAAAGGTGCAAGCAGCTTCAAGCATTAGGTCTAGAAAATCCTGCTCAAAATACATTTTGTAACGTTACCATAACAGTGGCTCTTTCTGCAAATGGTGATGATCTCAAAGACTGTCAGTACACAATGTCAACATTATTTAAGTTTTTTTGCTAACGATTGAACTTGAACACTTGGCCTCAATTTTTACCATCAGGATTGAACTTCATCTTTGACCAAAGTTACACCAAACAGACGTTTAACCATCATTTAACTTGTTTTAATGCCACTAGAATGTGCTGTGGCAGAAAGCATCAGAGTGGACAAGAACATTGATAATCACATTATCGGAACTCATTATGAGCTATTAAACAAATAATTGGGTGAGTATGCAGCGTTTCGCATCAAAAGTGTGGCTGCCGTTAATGGCAAAAGTGAGACAATGTCCAAGCATCCACTTACCGCAGACAGGCCAGTCGGTGGTCCTGGTGTCTTCGATCTCCTCCCCACAGGGAGTAACACACCAGCACTCCACACCGTGACACTGCACAGAGTCGTACATGCCGTGGTCGTCACATCTGGGGACAAACTCCCCAGACAGGTACATGGGGGATCCATGGTGCAGGAAGGTGGGGATGGTGGCCTTGTCATTCCAGCATGGCTGGGGGACTGGTAAAAAAAAGGTAAACGTTCACTTAATGTCCTTCTGGCACCAGGTGGACTGCATGCGGCAGCACCCATCTCAAGCTCAATAGCTCTTATGGGCCACAAAGTTGTGCAATCACTTCTGAATCTAGCCTCTACCAGGCACCGCGGATCGCTGGAAAAATAGTAGAAATTGGCCGAAATAAAGGGATAGTATACCAGAGAAGATCCAGGGCCATAGAAGCTCCGGATCCAATTTGCGACCCACGGAAATTGGAGCTTCTATGGCTCTGGATCTTCTCTGGTATACTATCCCTTTATTTTGGCCAATTTCTACTATTTTTCCAGCAATCCGCGGTGCCTGGTAGAGGCTATTCTGAATCAGCTAGTTCACATGTAGTGGTGTATGTTTAACTGCCATACCCTGTCACAAATGCCGAGTGCTAAGCACAGAGAGCTACAAATTACTAAGTTAGAACATAGCTACTTAAATCAGATGAAGTAACAAAGTCCATGGCCGTGGGTTAACCTATCACTTAAAGTTTGGAGCTATTGAAGTCATAACTTTTGGTTTTGATCATGACTTAGTACGACTTTTGGTAAAAGTATGACTTTTCACTAACTTAAGATAACCTTTGGCAATGGACTTAAGTATGACTTTTAAGTTACTTAAGTATGACTTTTCACTAACTTAAGATAACCTTTGGCAATGGACTTAAGTGATGATGTAATTCAAGAATGTGGACTTTGATCTTAAAGTCCCTTCACAGCTGTGGCATTCTGATAAACATCACTGTATTCACATTAATTCTACAGTCGTGGAACCAATCAATCCATCAAGTATCTGGAGACAGTTCCTGTATCAGCAGATACTGCCTGGCACACCGACTCCAGCTAGCTTCATAATCATAGGACCACACAAAGCATAGTATATGTTTTGTTGTTGCAATTTTTAATCTGGCCGCCAGGTGGCTTTTCCAGATGATTGAGAGGCGTCTTTTTAGTTAGATTTCTCAAGGAACATGATGGACTTCTATTGTCGTGACAAGAGCTTGAATAATAATGAGATCCTTGCCTTTACAGTACGGGTAACAAGCTGTTCTTCAGCACTTGCCTCTAGATGGCTAAATTGCCTTACTTGTAAGAAACAGGAGGAGACTATATCCTCGCTGTTACATACTGATCCCCTGTGAATGTGATGCGTACCAAGAATTTACTCCAGTAACATTTACTCTTGGTGGATAGTAAATGTTGGGAAAGTTTACAGTTTCTGTACCTCATCGCGATCACCCTCATTACTGCTGCAGCAAGAAGGATCAAAAACACTGACATGAACTCCTTTAGCCTTGAATCGCAAGCTTCAGCTGGATCATGAAGTTTTTGCGCCATAAACATGGCGACTGTGGAGTCCAAAGTGCGGCTCTCCCAGCGTTGAACGCCCACGAAGCCTGCGTGTGGAGCTTATGTCGGTTCAAGGTGTCCAGTTGCGGTCGTCGAGGCAATTAGCTAACAGATAGACTAACGTTACGACGTGCGATCTATTGTCAATGTTTCCAGGCCTCCCCACTGGCGCCAGCACGCCAGCCTAGTCGTCTACAATTATAGAGCTTTGGACCACCCACTACGTCCAGAGATGTCAGTAAACTGAAGAGCGGCCCAAATTGGAGCAGGACTCCTACCCGGCATGAATCAACTCTACTCTACTCTACTCTACTCTAGCATGCATGGCCGACTGGTCCGCTGGGATTAGCTTCAAGCAGATGTTGGGTGGGAAAGATGTTAACGTTTTGAGACTGCATACGCTACCATTGCTCTCTGCAGTGTGCAAGCCTGTGCGGGCCTCTGATAAACTTTGCCCGACACCGCCCACTTCAATAGAACTTATACAACAACCGTACGGGACAACACGTACGTTCCTAACTTAATCTCCAAGTAGATGTGGGGTGGAAGATCAAAACGTTATCTGACTGCTGGTCTTCATTGGCAACTGAAGTCCGACAGTCAAATAGCATACGGTCAGGATCTTTTACATCGACATTTCCTTTGAGATTATTATAAGTATCACTGACTGTGACTGGCTCCCGGGGTCCGAGTGAAGTGCAAGGTCATTTACATTAGATCCTACTGGATGTCGAACTTTGCGCACGTGCACAGCGACTTTGTGTTTGCTCTATTTATCGACAGGGTGTGGTGCGAGATCCTTTGTTCGATAAAAAAAGTTTCCGTTCTCAGTTCTGTATGCAATGACTGATGCATTATTGGCAAGCTATCCTCCAAGTGGAGCTAGCCTCCAAGTGGAGTCAAGAGACGGGATGACTTCAATACATGATTTTAGATGGCGTTATGTACGTTTGGAAATGTGTCAGACCTACTAATTCGTTTTAACTGACAAGAATGTGTGGCAAAAGTGTTGGAAACTTACATTTGATGTCGGCCTGGTTAATGGTGGGCTGAAACAAGAACGGAGACAATGTTATTATACGGCTTGAGGAATAGAGACAGAATAGTCTACCAGATGCGTTAGATGACCGTTAGAGAAAGTTAGACCAGTTCATAATGTTCAACAACAAAGGGTTTGTCTAGAATGATTTACAATTATTCTTAACATTTATGATGTATGTCGAAAATACAGATATTTTGAGTTTTTAGTCCGCGACGGGCTAGTTTTGTGTGAACATGACGATGAAACTTACCGTCACGGCCGCTGCCGTCACCAGCAGTGCGGACAGGAGCAGCAACATGGCCACACGATCTGAAGGGTCTGCCTAACGTAGAATAGCTGAAACCCACAAAACGGCCACTTCAGTTGATATATGAAGGCAGCGTGTTTGATTCACGCAGAAGGCAACGTGTTTGATTCACTTCTTAACTTGCTGTTATTGCAGTTTGAATAATCTTTTATTTTAAACTCAAACGCCATTACAGGAAAACATCCAGGCACCGCCCTCCTCGAATTTGCTAACAGAATCCCACCCCTGCCACCAGTGTAGTGTAGTGAAGTTCCGTAAAGACTTGCCAGCATCTCGTGAGGCTTGTGGTTTACGGTATACGTATTGTGACTATTATCAGTGTCTACTAATATTTGTTTGTTTGATCAGGACCTCTTCAAGTGAAAATTTCACTTTGCCAATATTACTTAGTCCTCGCACCGCCCTCCTCAAATTTGCTGACTACAGAATCTCACCGCTAAGAATGAAAAACCAGTCTGGTCCTGCCGTAGCCTGGATGCGAGAATGTTGCCAGGGCCAGTACACAAGCAAGCTTCTCGGTTCTAGGGACAATATATCCCCAAGGAAATATTACCATAGACACCGCTCAGTTACCTATTAAACTGGGTGCTGACCGTGTACTGGCCCTCAGACCAGCATCCAGGCTTGACCCGAGGGTGATCTTTGCACCGGGCAGGTTTTCTACATGTAGCCACCCGTACGTACGGATCTTTAAACAACCACCTGTCTCTATTTGGTGCGATGTCGATGATTTATAAGTCTATTGTTTCGATGTCACACGGCGTTGTCACTCACTGGCGCGTTTCCTAACGCAGCACTTCACCTTTGGACTACCGTTACATGATCTTGCCATCGCTTGCACCAGAAATGGCGCGGTTGCCCTATGCTCGACAAAGATACACAGAATGTGTAAGTTGAAGATAAGGCATTTTATGGCTACCCCCTGCGGAGTTTGGTTACCAAACGGCTGAACTGATAGACATCGAAGAAAAACAAACTTTCTTTGAAGTAATTCACCTTTTCTCCTCTCCACTTTGATTTGTTTGTGTTCACGCGTGAATTCCTATTGAAGGGCCAGTAAACAAGATAACCCGCAAAACACTTACACACACATTGAGGTGTAGGAACCTTCAAATACTGGATGGCAGAAATGGTAGTATTTCCAATCTAAACGCCGAGTTACACTAATCCAACTGCACATTGTTGGGAGTTGTCAGTTTTTATTGTAAATGTGCACAACAGTTACAGTCTCACTGGACCAAAGGTCGGCCCAACACTTTAGACCGATCACAAACCGTTACAGAATCCAATACCACAGAGATTAGAGGCAAAAACTGCTTGCTACACCACAGCTCCGAAAAGGAGCACTGAACGGTATGCAGAAACGCAAATTTCAGTAAAGCCGTTACATCAGAGTAAAGGAATGTCAATGCAGGAGTATGTTTTGTCCGTGCGTGACAGAACGACTTAAAAACTAAATTGTCCATGTCAATGTCATTCGCAAGGTTCTCAAGTACATGTACAATATCACATTGAAAGTCTGGTAACACTAAGTAATACAAAATCACTACTAAACTATCCATGATAGGAACACTTACCTCAGCAGAAGTGTTGTCGGAACCTTCAGGTAGGCTGATGACTGATCTTTGCACCGAGCAGGTTTTATAGCCACAGACTCACAAACAACCACCTGTTCCTATTGGCTGATCTGTGACCTCACGCTCAATGGGTACCCAAACAACAAACTCTTTATGGCGCTAATACAATGGGTAGTCAATCTCGCTGTTCGGTCAATATATGCATATAGCGGGCAAAGTTTAGAAAAGCACTTCAGCGGGGGCCTAGCAGTCACATAATGTGCCAGGCCAGCAGATTCTGAGGTCCGTACGTTTGCATTTTTTTGACAGTACCGACAAACGTGGTCGTTGAACTTGACAAACCGTTCAACTGCACTTTTGTCTCCTTTCATTGGCAAATTCTTACAGCTCTGATTTTTCAAAACGCACTATCTTGAATGCATGGGGTTTGACAGAAGGGCCCTGGAACATCAATATTATACTTCACTTGTCCAGAAATAAACAAAAAGCAAATCGCATGCATCTCTCGGAGCTAGCAAATATCCTGTCCAATCTTGTGTGAGCCATGATGACAAGGCAACAAATTTTACAAACATGGATGATGTAATACGCAGAGCTTAACTCTTCAAAAATTTTTACGAAAACAAAACGTCCATCAAGATTAAGTAGATGCCCTTATATTTGAACTCACTTATACCCAACGATACATGAACATTCTACAGTCTATTTAATGTGTGATGTGTTGACCCTGCCACAATGTGGAAAATATCAGTGTGCACGTAGGTCATGTAGGTCGAATTTGATCTGCAAAATACTGCTTCGTCACAACACCAAAGAGTTCAATGGACTTTGTTGCAATTTTTTTTAGTTTATGCAAGTCAGAAACTACGTTGGATGTATGGGTTTTGTGACGAATCAGTTTTGCGCCTACTTCACCGTAAATAAGTTGAGATCATTCGATATTTCTACTGCATGTTTTTACAGAATCAGAGTCAACGACATAGCTGACCATGGGTACCCCCCTTATCCCTGAGAGCACTTGAGTCCGTTAGACGATCTACTGAGTATCTACTAGTGGGCCGCCCGGTGGCTAGGCTAGAACTGATGACCGTAAACAAGTGTACGGTGTTTTGCATTCTGCCAGGAAGTTTACATTTCCATTTTAAATCGATTTACACTGGATAAATGAATGTACTTTATTGCACGACAGTTATTTGCAGCCTGTGCCCTCCGATCAGTGGCATGGGCTCCTTTATTAACTCCTTTAATTAAACACTGGCCAATTCAGTTGTGATGACATATGATAGCGGTATCTGTCCGGCCAGCGAATGTAATGAGTCCGTAGCAAATCTGATGACACCTAGGCTACAGCTACATGTACATATAAACCACAAAGTACTCTTGTAATTATGTACTATTGCTGGTATGGATGTGGACTAACGGGCCCTTTAGCTTTTGGCAGAGTGTATATTTTATCATACACGTGTGCCATGTTTCTACATTTAACGTTTAATACATGGCTTCACTAAAATGTAGGACACTATCGGTTTTCCTAACAATGCCCACGATCATGATAATGACCATTCTGGCATATTCACCTGTCAGCGAAGTGAGGGTGAGGAATTCGAAAGTCGTGTAAAGTGCCTTTCAAAAGGCCACAAGGTTGGTCACGGACTTGGCCGCGAGGACTCGAAGCTGGGACCTCTTGGTCCTGAGCCGAATGTTCTGCCATTACGCCACACAACCCCACGCAACGTAGAATTTAAATGTGGAATTATAAAATTCCTAAAATTTTCAAATTTGGCTCCTAAAGTGTTAGTCTCCTAGCAGATTGGGGAAGATTGTGACCTTTCTGTTATATGCCTCCGTTTTTTTTCTGTTGGTGGGGGTAGCGACAGAAAAACAGGGCATATAATAGATAGGTCACAATTTCCCCCCACCAACATCTGCTTGGAGAGTACCATCTGTATCTTCTTTCTTAGCTCTGACACCCCCGAAGCGAATGGTTTGTTCCAATGACCCTTCAACTCCCACCCTTAACCGTTACGTGTTTCTCGCCGCGTACACCAACATCAGTGCCCTCGTTTCAATGTCAGATTGGGTAAGTTTCCTTTCCGCTTTTAGTAAAATCAAGGCCATTATGAAGACGTTTAGAATGTACGTCTAATACACGACTCGTCTGATGCAGTTGGAACATTTCTCGATGCTGTGTAACGGTTTAGAGAACAGTTTAAAATTTGTTTGACACTGAAAGCTGAAAAACATTTTGTGACGTGAGAAAAGATACACGATGTGGTTCTTCTAAATGGGCATTGGAGTCATTTCAAGTAGTCAACGTCTGATTTGAATCTGGAAGGCGTTAACAAAATTATAATTTTCACTTTCAGGAATTTAGATTTTGACCAAAGAGACCAGTGACCCCGTAACCAAATTAAACCTGCTAAATAATTTAAGAACTTTTATTACCCTTCTCAGCAATCGATGAAGGTAATGATGTTTAACTAAGAACATTGGCACTACGAAGAACCACCATATAACTGCATTGGCTTTGAATGGCCTCCGTGTATTTCAGGTTACCAGTATGAGAGGTAGAGGTACCCAAGATGAGCCGGAGTAAGCTGGATGTGATGTACAGGCGTCTCCTGCTCACCAAGTTCTTTACACGAGGATGGGGAGACTTAGATCAACTCAAGAGGTAAGAGGTCCAAGGGTCAAAGTATAGAAAGTTAAAACTAGCTCGATGTTGCTTTGTCTGTCCCTCCCCTGATGATCTGTGTGAAATGTATCTCGGGGAGAAAAGATTACACACACTTGACAAGCTACATTAAACTTCTGCAATTTTCTGTTTACAGATTACTGGAATTCAAAAAGTATGTACAGAACAGGGACTTGTGTTGCCAGTTGGTGGACAAGCACTTCAGAAACTATCCTGTGGCCATTGACAAAGTGAGTAATAGGAGGTACATTGATGCAGTTTTGATATATATTTTCTTTGACATTCAAATCAGCATGTCCAAGTCTTGGGCTATTCTATTTAATAACCTTTTTTTTGTATTTACAGAGTACTGTTGGTGGGGACTGTAAGATTTTAGAAGGACACTTCACCTCACCCCTAACACACATCTTGCCAGGACTTCTGCCCAGAGAGGCAGAAACTGCAAGGTACGTTGGAGCTGTCAACCGGACGAGACATAGAAGAAATATTAAATGGCAACGCAATGGTTTCAAAAACTTTCAATCATCCCTGTCTTCATAATCAGTGATCTTAATCATAATCGTAATCAGCTATGGTTAATACTGAATTATCCCTTTGTAGGTTCCAACTTATTCTGCCTGTCCGATGGCCCACAGAACGGAGACCAGTCTGCATCCACCTAGCTGGCACAGGAGATCATGTATGGAATTAAGACTTACTAGTAGTAACTTTACATCAATTTACAATTTATGGACTCCTGTAAAACTGCAACATATAGTTTAATTCTACTCCCAATTAAAAAGCACTAGTGTATATCAGAATGAAGATTGTGTGCTATTGATGTATGTTTGACTTGAGTACCTGTTGAAATCTTCATAATCTCTGTTTTATGAAGCAGGTTTTCCTGTTACTTACATACATACATTACATACATTTTCTTGTCTCCCTGTACATGTAGTTTTTCTGGAGACGCAGGACTCTCATGGCCAAACCACTGTTAAAGGAGTCAGGAATCGCCTCTCTGCTGCTGGAAAATCCTTATTATATCCTTTGATTGTTGTTTGTGCCTCTATTTTGTCTCAATCAGCTCTAACGTTTACAAAGTATTGCTTTTTCATCTCAGCAGTGGTCATTGTATGAGAATGAACTGATGATGCATTGCAATGCATTATACCAAATAACATTATACTCATCCTCATACAACCATGTGTCATATTTCATATTTAGTAGTTAATTAACTAAACCTATCACATGACAGACTTAAATCTTGACTGTGAGCTTTAATTTTTAATCTACTTTTAGGTCATACATGTCATAGAATCTGTGCAGTTTTCCTTAATAGCAAATTGTGCACATGGATACAGAAAGCCTAAGGATCAGCTGTAAGTGAATTATGTTTTACCCTTGTGTCTCTGGCCTTATATGAGTAGAATATAAGTTGCTCCATTCTTTAAAATGAACAGACTGAAATGAATAAACTGAAAGCAAACATCATATCTGTTTTCCTTTAGTCGCTCCAGTCTGCTGAATGTGAGTGACATCTTTGTGATGGGCGGGGCGCTGATTTTAGAGTCGCAGGTGTTACTGCACTGGTGTGAGAGACAAGGTCTGGGTCCACTGGGGCTCACAGGCATCTCCATGGGAGGACATGTAAGTCTGCTGACATACTTCATTTTCTGGTCTAAACCACAGCCTTATTAGGATATTTTACGAATAGCTTAATTTATTCCCTTGCTGCATGGTTCATTGTCTATTTTTCTCTGTCTTGTTAGAGTTACAATGTAATCTCCAAGCAGATGTATCGTGTGTCGGCAACAAAAATCACTGACAAGACTTAACGTTAGACTTAGGGGCTCCTGTGTCTTTGATTTGAACACAATTGGTCAGACAGTATCCAACCAGCCACCTCCCTGTTTCAGTGATGTTCGGATACTGCCTGGCTAATTGGATACTGTCTCACAGGTTTGTTACAATTTTGTCCTCCAGATGGCATCTCTGGCAGCGTCCAACTGGCCGAAGCCCATTGCTCTCGTCCCTTGTCTATCCTGGAGCACAGCTTCCTCAGTCTTCACACAGGTAATAATAGGCAGATATACAGGATTGGTGTTTTCAGGGGGTTGCCTTAGTATTCATAGAAATAATATGATATTTTTATGAATTTTACATCAAACATTTCACTGATATAATTGCACAGCAAACTTGTCTTGTTATTTAGGGTGTGCTGAGTCGAGCCATCCCATGGAGGCTATTGGAGAAACAGTATGAAAATGATGCATATATACAAGAAATTGGTGCTCTTCTCAAATCTATTGGTGTAAGTTTTCCCTCTTACTATACCTCTGTTAGTTGTTTTTCTGTCTGTAGACATTTACATGTTGAACTAATGTTATATTAAGTGGCATTGTTAAAAGTTCAGAGTAAACCTGGCTATGGCTAGTACATTGTATAGCAGTTAAAACTGGATCCTTGATGCGTGTTATGACTCAATGGTTTCAGACTAATGTTACATTAAATGTTGTTTCTCGCAACTTCTATGGACCAACCTCTGAACAGCTACAAACATTTAGGTGCTGTTTGTTAATTTGTTTGTTTGATTGTTTGTTTGTTTGTTTGTTTGTTTGAAGAGGAAGTGAAAGAGATATGGAAATTTTGAGAAATAATAGCAGTACAATGATGTTGAAAACCTAACCCTAAATAATCTTTTTCCCTGAATTTCATTTTTTACAGGAAGATTCCTTTAAACTGGGCCAAGAATTTGTATCCAGTGTTGGAGACTTACAACACTTGAATGCAAACATATTGACATTAAAATCAGACTCACTGGATCAAGTGTCAACTTCTAAGATAGCTGTGAGTAATCCAACAAAAGATAAGTCTGAGAGTCTTCAGCGAGGAAGCAAGACATCCTTGTCTGGAGGTACAAGACAGCTGTTTCACAATGAGGATGAAAATCACAAAGTAAAGACAGCTTTGAAAAAGGCTCGACTAAAAGCACAACAGAGAAGCCAGGAAGCAATGGTGTTCATGGAAGGTGTCATGGATGAAATCACACACCTGAAAAACTATACAAGTAAGTTGTGATGACTGTTGTTGTTTGTCATCTTCAACTGAGGTGAATCATGATGTTTTTTCAAGTAGCTTTGTGCAATTTGACTTTGCTATAGCTCGCATTTATAGCCAACCATACTGGTCACCTCAATAGAATTTTTGACTCCAATTAGGTTTGCTGTCAAATCAGTCTACTTGTCTCATAGAGGTAGAAAAAGAGATGCTTGTCTTTGACTGTATTGTGTTTATTGCACCTTGTTGAAGAATTATATTCATACATTGTAACTTATTATGAGAGATCAATTTAACAATCTTTATAGATATGAGTTAGCTAGACTGATAGAGTTGTTAGTCAAAATGAGTCATTTGAATTTATGACTGTTAAAGATGCTGTGTTGTTGTGTACATCAGTGCCTGTGGACCCAGAGCTGGTGGTAGTGGTGGCAGCTAAGCATGACTCCTACGTGCCAAGGGACAAGGTCACTGACCTAGGCGAGCTGTGGCCGGGATGTGAGGTCAGGTATATCGACACTGGACACATCGCTGCTTTCCTCTTCAACCAAAGTGTCTTCAGGTATGTGAACTACTGCAGGACTTTTTCTGATGTTCTGATATTTGTATTGATGATGCATTCTTCAAAGTTAACACTAGGAATAGCATCTTCTTTTGCAGGCTTTTGAAATCATTTTCTGGTTTGTCTTATGTTGTCTTTGACTTCCCCAATAACATTCATATTTCTACTGTCTTATTTTACAACAGACAAGCCATCACTGATGCATTTACCCGTATGGGGAGGACTTAATGGTCGTCATGACAACTAGGATCAGGCCAACCAATCAGAACCAACTGTTCATCAAAAGTGTGAAACTGGAACCGACCAATAGCTATGATTATCAATACCGAGTATTGTTGCAGTGATGTTGAGTGTGCGCAGCGTGTTTTTAATATTTTGCTGTGAGCTTCAGCTGAAAATATGGTATGACTGTCAAATATGTAATATATGACAGTAAGTACACATTAACAAATGTATGTCAGCTCTCTAGTATTTATAGCAACACTAAAATGTGCACCAGGACCAACCATAATTTTATTATATTTGTAGTCATTGATGTTGGCATCCAACGTCCATTTGAAAGCCGTAATATCAGTTGTCAAAATGGTCCGCAACAGACTGAGTGTTGGAATTCTAAAAATGTCAAATTATATCAAAATGTCTGTTAGATCTAAATATCTACAATGTCAAATAATGCTTATGTTGGCTTCACTGCAGCTTAAAGATATAATTGAAAACTTCTGTCAATTCAATCCAAAAAATTGTTTTGTGCACAAGTATTGCAGGCAAAAGGCTTGCACTATTAAATTTGACCATCCAGGAAAATACAGTATATGTCTGGTAGTGTTATTATATTATAATAATGCAAAAACTCAGGCATGGTTGTGTTCACTTAGTAGACCAAACTTTATTATTCATCAATAAAGTAATAATTGGCTCTGATTCAGTTATTATTATGTTTATCATGTTTTTCTTTGTTTGAAAGGGCCAAGACAGACATTGATAAGATACTCTCTTACACAAATTTGAAATCTACATGAAGTTCATGCGAATGTGCAAAAAACTGAATGAACCTGCTAGTTGAAGAAATGTGAACTTGAGAAACAGCTTACAATTTTTGAAAGCCTTGAGAACACTTTGCAAAATTGATGTAGTTTGAGATTGTAAAAATATCTCTACTCCCTTGATCATAGTAGAAACCAACATGTTAACTTTGTATTGAAATAATTTGTATGTGCCTTGTATCCTTCCATATACAATTGATTGTGGCCTTCTTTGCTTCTGCCTTTAATGTCCTTAAAATTAAGAACATCTGAATGAGCAAATGTCGTCATCTATACATTCAATATACTGGACCAGAATATAGCCCACTACAACATACATGTAAATAAAAAGACTTGAATATTCAAACATATATGTCTTTTATTCATTGATTATCTTGCACTTTTTTCATCTTGCAGTATTTTTTGTGGCTGGTGATTCTAACATGCTACATGTTTCTGTACAAGTGTTTACCTTCCTTTACACAGTTTTCCTGAAACAATATATTTGAAAGCTGCACAATAGTAAGTTACATTGTAGCATCTCTCAGTAAATACATCTAGGTCATAGGAATTATGGACTTGTTATGGAGCTGAAATATCAGGGAAAACACAAAGCTTTAGAGCTGAATGATCATAGTAACATCTACTAGTATTCATCTCAGGTGATTTATTATTTGGGCTAATTATCGTGCTGTGTGATATAAATCATTACATGGCAGTGTATTACAGACATACAAGCACATGTACCTAGTAGACACATAATGTTACCGGCTAGTAACTACCAAAGAGATTCAGTCTTCCAGACAACTTCATGCTTGTTTGTCATGATGTAAGTCTGTCCTTAGACTGTTGGGGCCAAAAGCCGTCACATTCGTCAGTTGTTACAGGTATTTGGGGATGTCTGGCTCAATTTTCTGTGAAGAAAAATGACAATAGTCACCACACCACAGCAGTAGTCAGTCAACTGGGATTTCATAGAGGCAAGACTGTTGCATAAACGTTGAGCATTCAAAAACTGTACACATCTCTCAAGGGTCTAAGTAAATGCTTAATGATTATTGACAATGATTGTTGGTTGCTTCTCTTCTACAAAACACTGAAAAAGCTTTTATAAAAGTCGGAGAGCAGGCATAACCTTGACTTTGGCAAGTATAAAAATGTGGCCTATTATAAGAAATCAAATTACTCTAGAAACAGTTTGACATAAAGTGGTGTAAGAAATGACATGAACACACAAAGACTTCATTTACCTCAGGGTCAACGTTGGGTCCGTACCTCTGAACAGCCCTGCCCTTCTTGTCAACAATAAACTGAGAAGATGGTGAAATAACATTTATGTTATAAGCTGTTTAATTGCATGTACAAAGGTCTTTGTACTCAGCTTAAGCTATTTTTATTGGTGAACTACATGTAGGATTCGCCATTGGTTTACACATATGAGTCTTTTGTATGAAGTTAAGGAGGAAACTTACCTCAAGACAAGTGCTTTTGAAGGACAACAATATTTATCAAACAAACAAGAACTACTATTGAGAACTTACAACATCAATTCTAGATCTAGAGGTACAAAACAGATGGCATTATAATATTTTGCCACTAGACATTCATTAGGCTGGAAATTGATACATAAGAATTGTGTGCATATTACGTACAGTTCATGCAGTTGCCACAAAAGTTAACCAGTGTTGAGAGACATGTAATGCACAACACTAGACCCAGACATAGACTGTACGCCACCACACATGGTACCTTGGTAAAATTCCATTTGATGTAACTGGAAATAAGGGAAGAAAATAAAAAGTCAAGATTCTGGTAGAACTAGTGGATAATGTTATCTGAACGTCCTACCTTGGTAAAGTTCCACTTGATGATGCTGAAACAACATGGCAATACATAGTTTCAAGAAGATCTCAGATTCTGTTTCCCACATGTACCTTCAACCTAGCTAGTCAGCAAAACATACTGTAGTTTGTAGTTTCTTATAACTGAATATAGAAATCAATGCAAGTATGTTCTTCATAATTTATTTTGACTATACCACCATCATAGCAGTCTGTGAAATATTGTTATTACGACCAAAGGAGGTTAAAAAAACTTTTTGCAAACACATATAGAGATACACAGGAAACCTAGAACATGACTGCCACATTGTATGCAAAGGAGGAAATTGGCCAAAGCTAAAGGACAATAGCTGGAACGTGAAAAGGAAACTCAAGAAAACGGGACTCGTAATGCCGCAATACTCGTAATTTCCATATCTTGTCAAAGTTGTCTGTCTGTAACTGTTACTTACTCTCCAAGTGTCCCACGTGTGGTGTTCACCAACCAGTTGTAGATTGGATGAGCTTCTGCTCCGAGTACGTGGATCTTACTGAACATGTCAAAGTTCACCCCATAGCGGGTGGTAACAAACTCCTTAATGTCCCTCTCAATGTATGGCTCCTGAAATATAAGAAAAACAGACATTCCTTTTTTTCAATCCTTATCTATTACTTGTTAAAATGAGATGATGTACTTTTTATCAAGGCACCAAGATAAAGTCCAATTTTTTGTGTTGGATGTTACAGTTACAAGTGTCAGCTCACCTGGTTGTGGAATTGATTGCATGGGAATGCCAGAATCCTCAGTCCCTTTTCTGCAAACTTCTGGTACAGTGCCATGAGTTGTTTGTAGTTCCGGTCCGTACCCCCACATCTTGACGCCACATTGACGATGAGCAGCGGATGACCCCTGAATATTACATACATTGAAGGTCAAGGTCAAATGTAGGCCTCCTGGTGGCTGTCCTTGGTGCTACAGTGGGACTTCCGGTTGTTCTGCTTCAGTACCAAGGACAGCTGCCAGGAGGCCCACAACTGGTGAGAACATCAATATATTAACTAAAGGCATAAATCAAAAAAATCTGATATCCTGTACACAGTAATATAAGAAAATGTACAGGAAGTATACTGTTACTGCAAATGTTTAATATTTGGGGGCAATATTACAGTTCAGCATCAGGGCTATTCCACTTCATGTTGATGGGGGTGGGAGGATAATATTTCTAAAGATGATTGTTGTGGCCAGGGACACATTGAGAGCATGTCTAATGTTTCAATTCAGTTACATGTAACATTAAGTTAAACATTATTAAACATACCTGTACTTCTCGAAGTTGACCATGTTGCCATCAATGTCTTTGGCTTCAAACTCATAGATAAACCGGGTCTTTCTCCACTTGTTTGGATCAACTGCTGTCTGTACAAAGACATAACTAAAACATGTTTTCCTTACATTCAAAAAAGTACCATTAAAACATGATTGCATGAAAAGGAAATACCAGGCATCTGTTGGAAAATTATGGCTGGTTTGCTTGCAAGTGATAACTACATTATAGACAGACATTAAGAATATTTGTTGAAATAATAGACAGACTTTATAACTCCATTAATACATTGTGCATTTGTACATACCCAATACTTGTCAATTTGCTGTCCTCGTTGTTTTTTCCTCTTGGACTCAGCAGCCAGGGCATCACACTTTTCACGGAGGGCAAACTTTGCTTTAGCCACATCTTCTGGCAATCCTGTCAACTACAGACAAACACTGAGGCTGAGTCACAAAGAGTTCAATTAGCCAAAATACAACAATGGTGAGAAGGAAGTTGCAAAGTCAGTGAATACTGTCTCCGAGCAGATTTGAGATTGCACATATTACGCACAATAAGGTCTCACACTGTAAGGCCACACCAATTTAATTTGTTGGTTCTCGGATTCGCCTCTTCGTTTTTTTCTGATTTGCAAAAAAAAAAGTTGATTCTGGTCCTGAATCAACTGAAAAATGCGCATGTTTTGCCCCCAACAGTTGAGGAAAGTCCTTTTCTTCCTAGTTGTTACAGTTTTCCCATCTATCACTGCAGTGGTTTGATTAAAAGTTCAAAATTCAATGTTTAAATTTTAACCCAGCCTTTTGTGTTGACTTCATGGCTCATTTTGTAGCATTTAAGCCTATAATAGGATGCCTAGACCTTTTTTTTTTTTTTCGCCCTGTCGCTTCATATTTTTTCTGAAAAAATCTGAGAACCAACAAATTAAATTGGTGTGGCCTAACTAGGGAATACTAAGAATGAGAAGAAACAAAGACTTATAATTACTAGTACCTTATACACAATGTCCATGTCAGGGTCGCCCCCTTGCGGTGGGATGTTGTACTCCACAATGTTGAAGTCTTTCATCATCTGTTCTATCTCGTTGCGACTCGCTGCATTGCGGATAACGTCATCGTGGAAATCATATGTGACGTCAACCATCTCCGTCACCAGCTTTCCCCGCTAAATTGAAGGGTATGTTGTCGGTAAATTACACCAAAACACGAAGTTGAAGCTATTGTAGCCACAAACAAAAGTGTTCTTGGGTGGGGAATTTATGACAAAACGTATAGAATGCGTTGCTAGCCAGTGAGCCACACCTAACAACCGACAAATCATGGATATCCTGCCCTGTTAAAAGTAATTTTTTCACTTTATCTGTACAGCAGAGAAACATGCACCCACCAACTAAAAACAGATGTAAATCACCCTTTTATACTTTAACAACGAACGATTCTACAACAAAATGCCAAGAACGTTACCTACATTATACAGTTTCTTTTTCACCAAGTTCTGCCCATGACAAGCTACACACGTGTACTAGTAACTTAATCGCCAGGCAGGCTAGCAAAATCGGTGTAACTGACTGACCGGCGGTAGGCAGTATATATGTCATGATGGTCAAGCAGAATATACATACCAGCATCTCCAACTCAAGTTCTCGCTGCTTTTTGGCCTCTGCCAGTGTCTCTCTCAGCTCGTTCAGAGAGTCCAGCGCTGTGTTGGCCAGCCTGACACATTTGGACTGCTTCTCCTGTGCGATGTACTTGTAATAGTCCAACAGGCTCCTGATCTCAGCCACATGCTGTACCACGATGTTGATGACTTCTATGAAGGCTAGAGTCTCCTCGGATATTTCCTCCGCCGGCATCTGAAAGGAACAGTGCCATTTATGATTGTCATTTTAGATTTTGATTGGTAATATTATTGGAAAAAAACCTCTTTGCGGGCCTTTCGCCATTCCCATTCCCGAACTGGAAATTTGGCAATTTTGGTCGTTGTCTGAAGCCGGCCAGGAGCGGTACTGCAGATGAGGCTCTAATAGGGTATGTCGTCCCGCAAATCGGCATAACGGATCCCTTTTCATTTTTGAAAACTGGCGCAAACTGAATCGATGTGCGCTAGGATGTCATTCGTAGAATGTAGATGGCGTAGCCTGACTACAACGTTAAAACTCTAAATAAAAAGGTTGATACATATATTATTTGAGATCGGATGTGGTCTCCCGATCATCGTTTGACAAATTTTAAAAGTTACAGCGCCTATAAAATTTGACCTCCATATTTACGCCGCCACCTGCACGTACGAAGGATGGCCCCCTGCCAACTTTGGCAGACAATATTCAAGAGCCTGGGGACAGCTTTCTTCTGCTTTAAATAGTCCACTACTGAGGTCGCTAACCTGTCGCATAGCGACCTTCATTTAAGAGAACGGTACGTGGGAAAGTGTTTACTAGGTAGAACTGGTTCGGCCTATATAAACAGACAGACGTCAAGTGTGACGTCCAAACAATGCACCACTTTACAACTAATAACCTAGACATCTACAAACAAAAATATGCATTGTCTATGTTTATAAAAATCAATATTAGAGATGATGTGGTAGTAGAAGAGAGAGAAGAAGGAGTATAACCTAAAAGGCAGGTTGTTTTGGGCGCGGCCGCACACGTCACCCATCTATCATGTACGTGCTATGGTGGCATGTTGGCATTCCGCGGTACCTAGCCTTGTTTTCCTTGGGGTAATATGTTGTTTTGTTTCCTTCAGAAGCATGTAGCAGTGAGCGTAAAGACAACAACCACTAGATACCTTCCCACGTTTACAAGTGACGCATGGAATAATAATTCTGTTTAAAAGAAAACATAAGAATCTCGCACTGCGATGAATATACAACTTTGTCTCCTTACAATTCTTAAAACTAGGACTTTTTCAAAATTAGGATGACGGTTAGGTCACGGCGGCATACTACACAGCCATAACAAGTGTTGAAGGACTTACCTCCCAAATTCCACACCTAGTCAATCTCCTAAACGGGCATTACGGCTAGTCAACCATCTTCAGTACACAGTGAACTATCGCACCATGTCACTAAATATGCCGTAGTATAGTCAAACATCGGAGCATTGAGATTTACATAAGACATCAAACAATCATAAAACAATTAAATATTTACCGTGGAGTTTGTGTTGGTCTGTCGGAGGAGCAGGTAACGAGCTAATATTTCTTCCCCGTCCTCCTCCAGTGACAAACAAGATGGTTCTAAATTTGTCTGTCCGGTTCGAGTTTCCGTCCTTTGCGTTCCGAGCGCTCTAAATACGGCCGGGAGAAGGATTACGTTGTAGAGGGCAGGAATGTGTGAGCATGTATGGGCAAGGCGGGGAACTTCCACCCTCCATCAGACTACCAATCGATCTTATCTCTAGATATATTCTGACTTCAGCTGTAAAGCGAGTCCTTATGTGTGTCTGTACATGGTCTTTTCAGTCGGTGGATTGTGCAGTTGTTTCTGATCTGTGGACGAACCTTGGCCCCATTCCGGCCTAAGGTATACTTGTATTTTGCTGGTGACGCAGTACTGTGCCCCGGAACGGTTTGAAAAAGCTGTGTAAGACATTGGGAATTGGGCAGTACAGATGACAACATTCAATATGCACCCTATTCTAGGAATGCGGCACTGAGTTCCGGTTCCAAGTTCACTTTATTGATTTGCCTTTGGTATTGTTCTGAAGGTCATTGGAGGACAGAACGTATCAAGGTCAAATCCAATCCAATCTAATGCTTCATAAATTGGTTTACATACCTTATAATTGACCAAAAGATGCTTGTGTTGGGCCTGGTTTGTATCTGGTTTATATGTTTCTGGCAGAGTAGTGGCACATTTTAATGTGGGCATAAGAAAACTAAGTAGATTAAGGTTTCCCAATATTTCACTATTTTGTACCCCCATTTAAGTGTTTTTTAATTAACAATGTATGGACCATTTTTTACAAGAAACCAACACGAAATCCATGTCACGTACGGTCAGCCTGTGACCCTATGTGACAGTGTCCCTCTCCACAGTTCTATTTCTATGACTAAAGCTATTTCAGATATCAGACTAGAATTTAAGTACCAAAACAACCTTACAAGTGGCTTGAGAATAAAACTACTATTACATGTATAAACATTATCATACAAATTCCAGTTGGCAATTGCCGTAGATGAAGTAATCCAGTGTTTATTTAGTTCTTATTCATGTGTACATTATTGTGCTTCTGGTCATGCCAAGTATGTGATACTAGGTAATTGTAATATTTAGAAGAATTGACCATTAACAAATTAACCTACATTTACTTTCTGACAAGATATTCAGGAAAGCAAAGTATTATGTTTCAGTGTTCTAACGCATTTCTTTTTTCAGTCATCATGTCAATTCTTTTTATGTAACATCGAGTTAAGCACCAGAGGCATGACACTCCTAGCAGGGTCCTCTGGGAAATTTTGAAATCTTGACCCTCTGAAACACTATTTACTGCATTTTGAGGGGCAAATTTTGCTCCCAGACAAAGCTAGTTTTAATGACATCTCTTTCCTTATCTTCCAAACTGATTTTTGATGACAGATTGTGCAAAAGTTGATGACAGATTGGGCAAAAGTTGTCTGTCATGAGTGGGAAAATTCCATCAGATGACAGATGGATGGATACTGGACAAAACACCAGCTGTGTCATCATAGTTGGTATGGAACTGTAGCAAGTCTGGTTCTTCAGCTCTGTGAGACTTCTCCAGCTGGTGTTTGTTGAACCATCTCCAATGGAACCTCTACTGATTCCATCTCATTAATCTGAAAAACAATCAAACAGGCAATCAGAGACAGTGCCTCCTGGAAGAACATACAGAAACTGCACCCCAGAACACAGACACTAGAACTCCAAAACAGTACTACTGTAAGTACAAATATACTCCCTTTGGGTGAAGTAAGGAAGGTCTCTTCAAGAAAGTAGTGGCAGTGGTATACACAAATATGAAAATGGCAGTCATTTAGATACTAGTAACAGATTTGTCTGAAGCTGAAAGAACAACAGTGGAGAAAGACAAGACTTACTGTAACAGTAAAAGTGTAAGATCCTAGCCTGTCCACAGGCTCCTCAGGTAATGTGATGGTGTGTGGAGGGGCCACTATCATCAGCTGGGGAAAACAAGCAAAACCTTAAAGTGGTACAGCTGCAAGGTGGACTACAACAAGGCTAGAAAACTAGAAACAAAACAAAACATAATCTACCATTTGGCCGCACCAATCTAATTTCTTGTTTCTTGTACTTGCTACTAGTAATTTCATTTCTCTCAGATGAAATTCAGGACATCAACCTCAAAATGCTGATATTTTTGGCATCAAAAGCTTAGGAAAGCCCTTGTCTTCCTAGTTGTTATGATTCTTCCATTTATTGATGCATTAAAATCTCAAAATTGATAGTTTGAAATGTTTACTAGCCTGTGCATGAAAACTGTATGCTGAGGCTCTTACCTTTCTGTACATCCAGTGTGAGAGATGCTCCTTAGTCATGACCCATCCGTCAGGCCAGTCATCACGGACAGGTATGGTCAGGGTCTGCTGGGACAGGTACTCTAGGGTCTGAAGAAAACAAATGTACAGTTTTTAGTGGTTAATGTGCAGATCTTGGCACAACGGCAACACTAAATCTGAGTCATGTCTTTCTTATGAAATACTAGTAGGCACAGTCAGATAGTTCACTTACCTTTTCTGCTGTGAGAGAGAGCTTACGCAGCGAGGGATCTTCAATCTATATGAAATACAAATCATCAAGAAACATTTGATAAATAAAGACATTTTGACAATGTAATTAAAAGCAACTATTGATGAATACTGGCTAACTGGCTAAGTATTTAAAATGCTTGTTTTATCTTTCTCATCTATCGCTTAATTCAATTATTCGACCAAAGTTTTCTCCACTCTTCTTGGTTTTCTGTTCTTCTTAACTAAGGGTCGTGCTGCAAAACTAGATGTTTTCATCCCTACTAGCTAGAGTTATGAAGTAAAACTCACCTTTCTGTCTTCAAACATCTGCCTGTTCTCAGGTGAAGCGTACACAGCCAGCCCCGTGGCCAGGAGCTTGTTTCTCCCGATCTGTTTCCTCACTAGAACAACATCTCCTTTTTTCCCTATTTCTATAAACAAATGTAAACAATGTTTGTTAGCCCATGCTTAATATATGTTAAATATCTTTGTTTACATCTTGGGAGCTGTCAACTTTGACAGATATTATCCACTATGCATCATATCATAATCATACTGCACATAACATTACAAGTACCCAGTCTTAATTGTGACCCTCATTATATGTTATGCGGAGGTTTAAGAAGATTTCATACTTGGCACGTCCTCTGTGAGTATGAGCTCCAGTTTATGTTTAGCATCCTGGGAAGACGTCTCTTCTACCAACTCATAGACTTTGTTCATCTTCTTCAGCCTGTGCTCGTGCCCCTCCTTTAAGAGTCGGAGTGGGTGTGACCTCTTCAAGATGTACGTGGTCTGTAGAAACAAGCAAGATTAGATAACTTCATCTAACGTTACATGTGGCTGCACATGTGATTTGGAAGTTGAGTGTTGAACCTATATACACAAGCATTATTTTGGAAAATCTGAAATGTGAAATGAAAAAATTGAGATATAGGGTTATCAGTCTATTTTCAGGGAAAACTATTTTCTTTAGAAGCCCTAATTCTGTTGTGACTTGTCTATAATTTTGGCTGACAAAATGACCTCGAGCCAAAAGAAAACTAACGCCCCCCTCCCCCAAATTGATGTCAAAACACTTGACTCACCCGTCTTTGTTGGAGGCTCAAACATTCTGCTGACCGTCTGGCGGCTTGTAATAGCTGTCTACTAGCTACAGCTAGCTGGCTCAAGTTCACAGACATGTTTTCATGTGTAACTTCTGAACCGTTTGTCCTGGACACACGTTTTCACATTCACGCTGCCTTCTTGGGTCACAGGTCACATGTCAACGAGGACGCCTAGCGATAAAGTATGTATTTGCAGCTGCTTGGTGCGCAAATAGGATCCAATGCATCTTGAAAGTCGCATTGTTGAAGCCCCGGTATTCTTAAAATTGACGTGTATGTCAAAACACAGGACGTTTCATATGTAATACAATTTTAGGGATTATTACGGACATATTATTGATCAAACCTTTTGTTTTGAGTTTTGTATAACGTGTTATTACATGTTATAATATAGGGGATGTCGTTGTTTGATATGGCAATGGATATTGCCAGGCCTGATCAAGAAGGTTTGGATTCTGTACACAAAACGAGTGGAAAGGGCATTCAACAAAAAAGTCACCTCGAAACCCCACATCTGCTTGAATGTAAGCGGGGATAGGCACACCACAGGCGCGCAGCTGTATTTATGTAACGTTATAACATCCGTGACCTGTAAATGTCTGGACCGATCGTTTTAACACTACGTGTTGGGCGTACTTCACATCTCCAGCGTTCTTCACTGTGCAATGAATTGAAATCATAAAAACAGCGAACAATTTTTATAAAATGTGTGTATGACGGCATGTCTACAAAAAATGACAAACCTGTAATATTCATTACACGGAATAAATCAACAATATTCCACAATAAATCATTTGATTTGATGTTCATCTCTTGTCAGATTCTATCTGATTGATCCATTTCACGCAGCAAACGGTTGATCCCCGTGATTCTCATACCAACAACATTCAGTCTGGTCGCGTCCTGGTCGGGCCGGTCAGCGAAAGGTTATCCAGATCCTACCAAACACACGCATTTGGGAGGTGCAACAAACGTTATTTCTGTGACATGTTGAACATATTCAATACATACTGTGTGAAATATGTTACTACTTAGTATTCCAAAGCAATTAGCATGTCAGGCTAATAGCTTTTAATTAAGGGTGAAGTACAAGGACTTCAACCCCTAAAACCAGTCCAATATATGATGGTTCCGACCCAAGTCTATCTGCTCCCTTTGCAAAATTGCCACATCACCGTGACCACATCGCTGCACGAGCCTGACTGTTATCAGACGATACAAACCTCATTGCCGCAAAGATGCCGAGCTACAAGCTTTACTACTTCAACGGCCGGGGTCGTGCAGAGCCCACCAGGCTGATGCTGGCGGCTGCCGGGCTGCCTTACGAGGACATCCGCATGGAGCCTGAGCAATGGCCGGAATACAAAAAAAGTAGGTCATCATTGTATCCAGATCCATGCCTATCTATTTCCATGCCTGAATGGGTTGTGCTTATGATCATGATCAGGCACGGTTCTTGATAGCCTCCGCGTCTCCAAGAATGCAGGGCAGATTTGCCCCCCGGGACACCTTCTGGATACGCATTCGTACAACATTGAACTATCCATAACCGACTGTCCGATCAAGCATGGTTCTGGATGTAACAGTCATCAAAGATAATGATGAAGAGCTGCTTCTTGTTGGTCCTAGAGCAGTGATCCTAGAGGAAGCCAGGGCTTCGTTAATTCTGCTTCTATATCCTACTCTGACTTTTTGTTTAAAAAATGTATGATTGTTTTGTCATCAGATTAAATGCACTGTTATTATCAGTTCTGCTTTGCTTGTTTGGCAGAGATGCCGATGGGCCAGGCGCCTGTCCTGGAGGTGGATGGTACCGTACCATGATCTCTCAGAGCATTGCCATCGCGAGGTTTGTCGCCAAGGAGTCAGGTAGGAATCCTTCTGACAACCAGAAATAAATAAATGTACAAGTGGTGTAACAACTTATACACGTATCACCAGCCAAAAGGGCCAGGTGTGGTACTATATGTAATAGCACTTGGAAGTCAAGTTTTGAACATGTACATCATAAATAGCCTGAGATTGTGGCATCATCATTTGTCATATTCTAAAGATCGTTGAGCTGCAATGCTCTCCGGAGGCCCAGGGGGCGCTTATTAATCCGACCCCGTGCTCGGTACATACAGGACTGGCGGGAAAGACGAACATGGAGCAGGCTCGGGCCGACATGATGGTGGACGGGTTTGTGGACATGGTCAACAAAATGGCGGATTATGTCTGGTATGAACCGGACGAGGCTCGAAAGGTCAGTGATAGACTTCTCAAAATTTGCATATGTTAAAGTTACTTTCTTATGCAGTATCCGTTTGCGCTAAAATGCTTCATATGGTCTCTATAACTAAGTTCAAACATGGTACCTGCTGACCTGTTTCTGTTTTTCCTTGCTTAAAGGTACACTGTGAGCCTTGACAACAATAGACCGTTTTTAAATCATTGTTTTGCATCATATGTCGTCTTTCTCATCAGTTTTATTGAGTCTCATTTTAAAACTTTAGGCAGAAAAAAAGAAGACGTTCTTTGAAACAACGCTCCCAGAATTCCTCGGTCATTTTGAGAAGCTCCTTGTGGCGAATAACGGCGGGAACGGCTTCTTTGTCGGTGACGGGGTGAGACACTGCAACTCTCTTCAACTTTTCTAACTTTCTATCTAAATGATTTTACTTGGGCAAGAGATTATATGTAGTTGACAAGCTACACTTTTTCATTTTTACGATCGAAAGTTGTTTAAGAAAAAATATTGTAACCGTGAAAAGAAATGTGATAAATTCAGCCAGCTCCAGCCTTCTTCGGGATGACTAACCCATTGCTGTAGACACGTGATTTTACGGCCACGTGACTTGGGTAGTATCCAGATTTCCTGGTAGTCAGCTGTTTGAACTAGCTAGTAGTATTATGTTTATGTTACTAAACTGAACTATGTTAAGCACCAATATGCTAAGATTTTGAAAGAAATATTTCAAGATTTGAAAAAAATCCTTCCTTTCCCAGCTCACCCACGCCGAGGTGTTTTTCCTGGGCCTGTCAGACGACATTACGGCGGAGAAACCGGACATCCTCAGTCCCCACCCGAAGTTAGCCGCGCTCGTGGACCGCATCAGAAAGTACCCGGGCATACAGGAGTGGCTGGCCAAACGTCCACAGACTCCATGGTAATAAGGGAGTCACAAATAAGACTGCACTTGCTCAGTGTGTTGCATTGTGGGTATTACGTCAACTGTGAAGACCCACAGAACGTAAACAAATATGTCTAAACAAGGTCATTGGTATAAAACATGGTTTTATGCGTTTTGTTTATTTTTTGTAGCGTTTGACACCAGGTATATACACTGCACACCTCCTTGTAGCATGCAGGAACTTTCTTAGCCTGGTTACCAAACCTATTATAGCTCCCGAGTCCTACATCCTTGCGGAGAGGATGTAGGACTCGGGAGCTATAATAGGTTTGGTAACCAGGCTAGACTCCAGTCAGTGGTACAAGTCAATCACTAATACGTTTACATAGGCCAGGGTCATCTTACAGACAAATATTATCAAGATTATGAATGAAAAAAAACTTTCGAGAGTTCTGTTCATAAACATACAATCTGTGTACACACACACACACCTCTGCCTCAATGCAGATGAT